ACCATGCTGGATTTCAGAATCCTTAATATTAATCCTGGAAATTGGGTAATGAGAGTCATGGAGAGATCAGCCCGTAACTCCTCAGTAGGAAGGTCCCTTTCAGGTACTACTCACCACCGCATTGGCTGTGCAAACTGCAGAGTGGGGATGGACTGATGCCAACAGAGTTAAAGGCCCAGTAGAAGAACCCAAAGAATGAACTATAACATCCAGACTGGGTGAAATGAGATTGACTCTCAAGCAGAGACCAAAAGACAGAAAAACAACAAGATGCCCAAAAAGTAGAGTCAAGCTTCCACCAGCCAGCTTGAGAACTGTTTTCCTGTTTTAATGGGCGAGAATTACAAGCATCTGTTAAGGGGAAGTACACAAGGGACCGTAAGAGGTAATGGGGCAGCTTTCTTAAGAACCACAAGTAAAGACAAGGAATGGAGGGCAAGACCAAGTTGGCCCCTTTGTTCGCTACCAAGAAGATTCCATAACCCTGCTGCAAGTAGCAACCCCTCATGGTAGCTAGGTAGGTGCAAAAAAGGCCATACTGGACCTCTGTTATTCCTCAATTGTCTTTTAATACAAAAGGGATTAGAGGGCAAGACTAAACCGGGCTCTGTACTCACAACTAAGATTCACCTACTATGGGTACAAACCACATAGGCAAGGTAGATGGGAGTCAAAGCTATACTGGACCTCTTTGATGTCCTTTTGTCTATTCCAAATAAGTGTGTCGAGGGAAAACATGAGATTTTTTTCTCCAGTTCCCACTGTCCTTGCCCACATCAACAGATGTTAATATGACTCATTAAAGAGAGAAAAAATTTTTGAGTTAATTGTTCGAGCCAAATGACTTATAGAAAAGGGGGGGTTGTTATAGATGAGTAATGCAATGGTTGACTCTCGCAATTAAAGAGTGAATATTAAGTATATGTTAAGAAAAGTTTTGTAGATGCATAGTTATGTCTCTCTCCCCCTTGCATTGTTATCACAGGATGGCTTGAGTAGCCAGGACACCTGGGAGGATCAGCTTGTTACTACGGCAACACCTCCACTCAAGATACAAGAAAGCGATCTCCACCACTGGAAAGTGAAGGAGTCTATTGACAAAACCTTGGCAGCAGCTAAAGGGAACATCTATTGTGTGGATGAGCAGATGGTGATGGAATCCTTTGCTCCCAGTGCACTGTACTATTTTCTCTATTCAGTCTTCTATTATACTTTTCAATAAGGTTTTAATAAACCTTCTAATTTTTTTAACTGAGTGTAATTTCTCACAACTGGGGTTCCTTCTGTCTCAAAAGCCTTTTCAAAAATGGCAGAACCATCCATCAGCAAATTGCATTCAAAGCACTACCCCATCCTTCCCTCTTGGGAGGTTTTTTAGGGCCTTGCCCAATAGATCTCCTGTCTGCAGCAGAATTTGTGCTCTCAATTCTCCGGAACAGGAGTTTATCTTGTCTGCTAAAAGGACTACTGACAGCAAGCTGCTTTTTAGAGGACAGTGTACAGTCAGCACATGGATGCTCAGTTACCAGCAGCAGACACTGTGCAGTGTGGGCTCAATAAGACCTCCTGGTCTCTGGAACAGGAGAAGGAAATCAAACATAACATCACCACTTGGCTTTTCCAGTTTCATTAGAAGCTGAAGGTAAGCTACCCAAATTTGATCAGGAGTGATTAATTTAAAATAACCCAACATTTAATTCACAGATAACCCTGGAAAAGGTAATTCACTGCCTACCCATGCAACAGAATTACCAGTGTTCTCAGTGACAAATTCAGCTTTTGTATCTTTACAAAAGGAAGAGTTTTGGAAAGGAGTCCTTGAAAGGAGGTAGCCAAAACAGAGATCTGAATACTACCTTCAAATGAGAAGGTCTTTTACTTACAGAAATTATCTGTAAGCATTTCTTAATGAGATACCTGTACTTCCACCTAGCAGAAAAGAATCAAGGCTGACTGTCTGATTAAGCAATTCTCTCTTGCACCTGTTTTGGTCTGTGATGATTTCACAGGAGGGGAAAAAAAGAAACCATTACCAAAAAAATTAAACCATCTTTGTAACATCCTCTCTGACAATCTGCTACCCACAGAATGGACTAGAGTTCAACTTAAGCCAGTCAGTGCACAGAAAGACCAAGTAACACTGGGAGAAAAAGCACACAGTGAAAAGTCAGTTTAATAAAATCTTGTATGACAAATTACAGCAATTATCATAACTGGAATTCCTAAAACTAGAGAAGATTATGGGAAACATGGTAAATTTTGAAATATATAACATGTGTCTAGAAAGTAAATAAACCATTTTCTACACTCACTGGGAGAGCAAGAGACCAGTTCAACTGCAGAATGGGATGTGTTAGGAGCAGTCATTTAATGGCAGTAATACCCAAGCAATGGCATCAATTGATATTCAGAGAACAGAGAGGAGCCATTACAAAGTTGGACATTTTTTATTCCTACAGGCTTCTAACAATCTGGTCACCTCCCACCCTAGTTCTAGTGCAGAATGGCTGAGGACTCATTTATTCATTAGATCATTTTCTGCCCTGTCTTCTCTAAAGCAATGCACTGGGAACTGGACTACAGAAAGATGTTGTAATGACAACATTCTCTTACCTTAATGTTTGTGTTTCCTGTGGGTGTCATTTTTTTTTTTTTTCATTTTATGGATACAAAGCTTAGTTCTGGTTTCAGTGACATCACAATTCTAACAACATTTTCATGGAATCATAGAGCTTGATGAGTTGGAAGGGACCCATCAGGATTATCAAATCCAGCTCCTGGCCCTGCACAGGGCACCCCACCCTATGACTGAGAGCACTGTCCAAAAGCTTCTTGAATTCAGGCTTGGTGCTGTGACCACTGCCCTGAGGAGCCCATCCCAGTTCTAAAATCACCCTCTGGGTGAAAATCTTCCTGATATCCAAGCTAAACCTCCCCTGACTCAGCTCCATGCTGATTCCTCAAGCTCTCTCATTGGTCATGAGAGTGTACAGACCTGCCCCTAACGTCCTGTCATGAGGAGGCTGGAGGCTGTATTGAGATCTCCCCTTAGTTCTCCAGGCTAAACAAACCAAGTGCCCTCAGCAGCTCTTCATACAACTTCCCCTCTAGACCCTTCCCCATCCTTGTGGCCCTTCTTTGGACACTCCTCTATTAGCTTAATGTCTTTTTTATACTGTGGTGCCCAAAATTGCCCCTAAAACTCAAGATGAAGCTGCCCCAGTGCAGAGCAGAGAGACACAATCCCCTCCCTCACCCAGTTGACCTGATGCCCCCCATCAGGAGCACATGGCTGGCCCTCCTAGTTGCAAGAGTACACTGCTGAGTCATCAGCAAGTATGTTCAACTTTACTACACTCTTCAGTATTTTTTTTTTCCACTTGGAAACATGAAAGGCTATGCCCGTATGGGTCAGCAGCCAACAGGATACACAGGAATTGTCAACACCACACAAAAGTGAACAAGAGGCCTAAGGGGAAAGATGGAGCACAAGCATGATCAACAGGAAGACTGCTGTGAGGCAGCAGAGCTGGTCACCATAACCCTCTCCTCGAACAGCCACTGCTCGGTACAGGAAACACAACGCAGGGCTCAGGGTGTTTTGTTCACTTGCTTGCTGGCACAGGTTTTAATGTAATTCCCATGTACATTTTGATATGACAGTCTTACATATATCTTTCGAGACACATGGGCATTATCTGGTTTTGCCTGTCACTGGCTTACTAAGGGTTAAGCAGAGAGCTAAGTCAGGGTTTTGCTTTGGTTAACTGTCTCTTGCTGGGCAGGGCCTGAACTCAACCCATTACCAATTCTGTCAGGATGCACAGCAACATTTCTGCCTTCACTATAAACATTTATGCAAAGCTTCCAGCTAAAAATAAAATCCGCATCAGTAAATAGTTGCCGATATTTTAGAAAGCTGTATGTTATTGTGTACCATCAAGCCCCAAAGCAAGCATGCTTACTCAATATTTCTGAATCTTCATGCACCATCAATTGCATTTTAGGTAAAACACTTCAAAGTGAGACTCAGCATGGACACCATAGAGACTGGTCCAGGAAATAATGCCTGTTTTCACAGAAGTAGACTGTGCGGCCAAGACACCATATTAATTTTCCTTACGAACAAGCTGTTGACAAGAAACAGCTTTACGGTGCAAGAGTTTTTGAAAAGAGTAGTTTAAATCTGAGTATCTCAACAATGTAAAAAGATCCCAGATCCAAAATGCAGATCACTTACTTGAAAGTCCCCAGACCTTGTGATGCAGAAACAATTGTGTGGTGGATACTAAGGAATCTGCCATGTTCCTGTTGAAGCATGGCAAGAGTAGGGGGTGCAGCAACAGGTCTGTTCATTGGTAAGAACCGCCATAACCCTAAGGAGGAAAAAAGAAAACCAAAATGCAAGAAGGCATAAGCAGACAATCCAGAGAGATCAAGATGCAGTGGCACAGCTTATCATTAGCCCTTTTCAATTGCCAGAAAAGTAATCACAGATGTTCCTTCTGCTGGCTATCAGGAAAAGGGAAAGCACCCTCTGCCACAACAGCATCAGTCTTCAGTGATGACTGCCAGTGAAAAGTGTGTTCCATTAAAATAAGAGGCCGTATGGACTGTTTTGCTATTTGAATACCAAATTTCAAAGCTGACTTTGTGTTATAACCTGGGTTTCCGTTTTCAATTCATGCTACATCAAATGCTTCTTCCCCTTTCATTTTCTTTTAGGTGATGCATTTTAGATCCTTAATCTACAAAAGAGCAAGCATGCAAGTCAGAAATCATCTATCAGCAAACTATAAAAGAAATAGAAGAATTTGGGGAATTTAAAGTGAAAGTGACCTGGTGACTACCAAATTCCAACCTTGCTGGACAAGAACATACCATATGTTCCAGTAAGAAAATAAAACTCAACTTTCACACAAAAGGCTCAAATGATTAAAAAACATCCAAAGCAAAAAAAAAAACCAAAACAATATGGTTACAGTAGGAGTACTTCAGAATTACACACAAAAAACCACATTTTTGCTTTTATTTGTGGTGGAACAGAATACAATAACCTTCAGCCCAAACTACTCAAGGCTGGCAGTATTACCTTTTTCTTCATGCTGCAAGACTTCAGAAAATGGAACAAGGACAGGAAGGGTTTAGAAGTTAAATTTTCTATTTAAGGCCATTAATTCATCAAGATTTAAAAAAATGTCCTCAACTTTAAGCATGAAGAGTTGCATTGACTTCAGTAAGATTATTCACATACAGTTAAGTCACGCAAGTGCTTAAATGGCTTGTTGAATCAAGCCATTAAATGAGAGCTGCTTTATTATGTAGATTTATTTTAATGGGTGGCAGCGCTCATTACATGAGCCTATTTTATTCTTCCAAGGGCTAACAGCTGTTTTGTCATTAACTTTTCTGAAGGTCTAGCCTGTATGCCTCCTGCACTTTACTGTAGCCACAGAAACAAAATTTTCTAAGAAAAATTGTATGCAACATCTATTATATATAGTGGCTTAGCTCTCCCTTAAATAGTAACAGAAAAGAACAGTACAAAACAATAGTTTCACTTTTTCAACACACAAGAGCATCTTATTGAAAAACTAAAATAAAAAAGTCTCACCACAATATAAATCCCCAAAAAATAATAATGAAGTGGGAAGAAAAACGGAGTTAGCAAAACGTCCTGCAGACTTTAAAGTCTCTTATCGCATTAAAAAAGCTTTTCTGGTGAACCACAATGTTTTGTTTCTTTCTGTTTACAAATCCACTAGACAGCAAACAATGGTGTCCACATCCACAACCCATGTTGGGATTAAAAGGTAAAAACATAACCTGCCCCATCTACAATCCAAAAAAAAAAGGAACCCAAAAGGGCAGCCAGTGAGCATAGGAGCTGGTGAGGACCGAGTTTCCCTGCGTAAAGGGGAGTAGGGGTTATAAAAGCAGAATTCAATTTGGAACCACATCGAAAAGTTCTATCTTGGAGACCTGCAAGACATGAACTACTGAAGAAACAGACAAAAGGTCCCAATGAAAAGCTGTAACAAGCTGTAATGTGCCATTTTAATTACAAGGAAGAGGGGAAATGGTTGGGTGTGGTTGCATTTTGTGTTTTTGTTGTTTTGGGGTTGGATTTTTTTCTTTTTGTTTTTGCTCATCAATATGATGAGCTTTCAACGTCCCAAACCACATTCAGGTAGTTTCCAAGTCTGCTATTTTTTGTGTGGAATCTACTGATCCAGACCAAAAACCCAAATGAATAGAACAGAGATGCACAGTTCTTAGGTCCTGGAGCTTTCAAAACTGCCTGAAATAATCGCTGGCCTGGGGTATCCAGAGATGCCTGCAAGATGGTGTTCATAGCAGCCTTGCAAGCAGATCAGCTCACATCTGCTATGTGCTGCCAGTGTTCTGCCCATCACCTTCATCATTAGGACCTGAAACAATAAAAGTAGTTCTTGGTCATAAGAAATATCTTTTATTTCTTGCCTTGCAGTAAGAGACTCATCTCAAGTAACCTACATAAGTCTCAGATTCAGGTGTTCAATGAGAGAATTCATAGAATTCTTCCTCCCCCACATTGCATATGGCCTTCTCCAGACTAAGATTTGTCTACTGTAGAATTTTATGCTCTTGACTAATCTAGTTCAGGAATCCCAGCAGGATCCCAAAACCTAAAAGCTCAATTTCAAAGCACTTCAATCTTCCCACTGCTTTTGTTCATATTTATTCCTCTTGTTTTCCCCTTCTGTGAATCAAGATGGAGGACTATCAAAGGCTGGATGTTCCCAGCCACAAGAAAGCAAAGCACAGATGACATCCAAGTTCAGAGTACAAAAGGAAGCCTTCCTCAAACTGAAGACTAGTATTTTTCTTAAATTATGGTCTCCTCATGCACAATAAAAAACATTACACTCTGCCCCTTTGTAAGCCTTCTGCTTTCCAAACAGCTCTCTACTGGAAAGGTCAATCTGGATGCTGTCTACTGATCCTGAGTCATCTCAGGTTTTATATGCAACTCGTGGCCATGATGAAGGCCAAAATGAAACTCAGAACCACCCTTAGAAATCCTGTAAGTGATAAAAAGCACAGAAAACCTCTGCTAAACTCTGGCATCTCAGAGGCAGCACAGGGGCCTTTTACCAGTTTGGAGAAGCAAGGAGTAGTTGCATTCAAAAAGGAAAGCCATGCAATAGTCCTACTCCATAGACATACACAATGAGCACAGACTTGCTTTAAGAAATGACACAGAAAAAATGCATGGAAAACAGGAAACACCATTGTCTTTCTTACCACTTCCAACTGATCCTGAAGGTGCAATGACATCATCATCATCATCACTGTCTTCCTCATTTGACTGCGTTACCTCTGGCTCAGGTGCTACATTCTTGACTTCTTGCTCTTGTTCCACTCTACTGCGCAAGGCCAAGATCCGATGGTGCAATGCAGCATACAACTGCCCCGTATCTTTAGAGCTTGCCTGCATTTTTTAATATTCAGAAATAAGAAAAAGGTGCATGGAATTATAACACAATTAAAATGCAGATAACATAATACACACCAGTCATGCAAAATTTCACAATATACTTTTTAGTTTTCTCATAAAGTGTTTTTCATACTGGTCAAAATGGGCTGTGGTACACAGCAGGACATTAGATATAGAGAATTCTGGTGGTAAGAGTATATTAGTCTGCTTAGTTCCAACTTTCTCTGGCTAACATACCCAGTATTTGCTGATCTCATATTGCCTTCTTCACATATAAATCACAAAGATTTCCTGACACCTCCCAAAAGATTATATTAAAAAGACCTTTAATTAAAATCTTGCATATTTTTGCTGGCCTGTCAATAATTTAACTTCACACATTAGTTAATCATAATCAATCCAACTGTTTCATGAGGCACTGGCATAAAATTTCAGTATGAGATATAATGAGAAAACTCAATGAACAAACAGGCAATTATTCAAAGTTTTTTTTGAACAGTCTCTGTTTCATAGGGAAGCATTTTTGAAAACCTGTCAAATTCTTTCATAAAAAATAGTTTACATCCACCCCATCTGACACTTCAATCTGACAACTGTGTATCAGCAAAACTCTCCTTCAATAAACTGAAATGAAAAAGTAATTCCAAATAAGATACTTTCTATCAATACTAAAATCAAGAGCTAATAACCTTATGCCAGATTAACTCAAAACTTTCAAAACTAGAAAAATATGGAGAAAAAGTTATCCAATAATTTAATTTTTTTTCTTCATCAATGCATATTTGGTATCATTAAGTTCAATTCTGAGACTCCAGATCCCAGCCCTACAAACCTAATGTCACAGGGAAAGCTGGCCATTTGCTGATGCTCTCGATTTCTGATCCCTAGGAACACTAATTCTTTTGCCACATCTTGTGTAAAACCAGTGCAAATCAAAAGAATCCTCTCAGACCTCTCCAAATCTGTTAGTGCTTTAGCAGGCATTAGGGAATGACCTTTCTCCCTTACTGACTGTATGATCAGATCAGTGTTTTAGTAATTCTGACTGCGATTGCCGTTCCCCATTTAGTAACCACAGAAATCACTTTCACTATCCTGTTTCTGCTTTAATACTCTGCATCAAAGGAAAATCAAAGTTAAAATGTGTAAACCATAAGTACTAATATGATGTTCTTGACAGTTTTAGTGTTTCCTTTTCAGTGGGCACCTATTCATCCTCCCGCACTGCAGACAATGACGGTTTTCCTGTGCTGAAACTTCCACTAGATCAAATTTTGGTTAAACTACTGCATAAAATCTATTAAATTATGCCATTTTTTTTTAAATCAGAAAACAATTGGCATGAAACACTATAGTTAAGAGTCTCAGTATGTGTGGAACAGATCCCATGACTCTATGGGCAATGCTTTGAACAACGCAGCTTCATAGGGTAGCCTTTGATGTGGCCTTTTGTTCACAACTAGCAAGACTTTTTAGACAAGGAAATCTGCCAAGTGCCTTGTCTTTGGGGCAGGGGTGATGTTAAGACAGTGTAGAGTGCAAAGAAAAATCAAATGCTACCTCAGCTACAGTTTAAGTAAGCACCAACTTTAGTAGGATGGTCAAGACATCAATAGTACTCACTGATATAAGAAAAACTTTAACTCCTTGGTCCTCTGTATCCATGGCGGTGATACGGATACTCTTCTCACTGGCTTTATCGATCTGCATCTGAGCCCAGAGCTTCGTATTTAAGATTAACCTGAGACTCCCCTGAGTCCTCATCACTAAAGCCAAGTTACAAGATCAATTAGGTGGAAAAAGACACATCAGGAAGCTCAAAACAGTCAAGACACTTTTTATTGTACAAAGGTTTCAGTTTTTTTACAAATAAGCCCTCTTAGGCTTTTGTCACAACTGTAAATAAGAAGAATGTAGACTTGTGCTGGTTTTGGCTGAGGTAGAGTTAACTTTCTTCCAGTCAATGCTATGGAGCTGTATTTTGGGTTTGTGCTGAACGGACAGTTGATAATATAGAGATGTTTTTGTTATTGTTGAGCAGTGCTTGCACAAAGCCAAGGCATTTTCTGCTTTTCATACTACATACACTGATGAGGACAATGGGAGTATGTAATACGTTATGGTCATAGGTTGGAGACAGGTACAACAGAAATTACTGATGATCATGTGACAAATAGCTCGGTTTATTGTTCAGCGTCCCCGTTTATACGGGGTTCCTGTGCTTGGACAACTGATTGGTCAGGGTCTCTGCACTACCTAGCTCCTTGACCAGTGATATGTCTGCATTCAGGATTGAATGCAATTGGCTGAGGTTCTTTGAGTTCAAATCTATCCTATCATTGCTCACCTAGGGACTTTACTTATTTTCTCCAACGAACAAGGCAAGCCGAATTGGATCTCTGTTTATGGCCATATTAAGCTGTCCAGCTACATACCAGCTGTACTGTGACAAGTATGTGGGAGGTTAGGGGCAGACACAGCTGGGACAGGTGACCCAAACTGACTAAAGGGATATTCCAGAACACAAAACACCATGCTCAGGATATAAAGCAGGGGGGAGAGGAGGAAGGGAGGATATTTGGAGTGATGGCGTTTGTCCTCCCAAGTCCCCATTACACATGATGGGATCCTGCTGTCCTGGAGATGGATGAACACTTGCTTGCCCACAGTAAGCACTGAATTAATTTGTTTTGCTTTGTTTGCAATTTGCATGCACTGCTTTTGCTTTCTTTATTGAACTGCCTTTATCTCAACCCAGGAGTTTTCTAACTTTTATACACTTTTAATTCTCTCCCTGATCCTGCTGGAGGGAGAGTGAGCAAGCAGCTGAAGGGGCTTGGCTGCTGGCTGGGCTTAAACTGCAACAAGGTTATTAAAGACTTATATGAGTCATATCTAAAGCTATTTAGTCTGAAGCCTTATATGTTAATACATTAAAGTTCAGCAGTGGTATCTGAGCAGATAATCTCAGGCTAATGCACATTCCTGCCAGCCTGAACAATCGTACACTATTCAGACTTCCCTTATCACAAGCAACCCATCCAAAGCAGCCAGATCCGAACGATGTTACAATAAATTTCTAGGCAAATATTCTAGTTACTAAACATGACTTGCTTTTATTGGGGGAAAAAGTAACTGGAACACCTGCCACAATAGAAGGGTATGAAGATACCCTCTCTGGAGACTATTCACTAACCGAAGCAAAAGAAAAGGTCCAAACTGCTACTAAATTGCTGGAGCTAATACAAACTGAAGTGAATGTTGCTGTGTGTCAAGGAAGAACCTTATGAAAATAGCATGGCTGTCATCCAGTACCACATTTCCCCTGGTTCCTCTTACCCAGTCGAGACTGTAATGTTCCATCATCTGTTGAGGCCATATCATTGAGTCTCAGGAGCCCTCGACCTCTTTCCACCCAAGACTGAGAGCTTTTATCAAATACAAACAGCTTGCACTGAATCTGTAACAGAAAATATCTCTATGGCATAGTGGTTGATTGAAGTAATCATATATTTCTTAGTCACCTACAGTTGATTAAAAAAAATATTCAGATTTCATACTGGAATTTTTAATTGTTCATAGCTGTGGAAACCAAAACAATCATCCTCTCTTTTGCAATAAATTTCTCAGAATATGCTGTCTGTATTCCTCAAGTTTTATTAAAGGAAGCTACATATTCTTAAAGAATAAGAGGGTTCAAGATCAAAACAAGAAGTAATTTTCAGATAAGATACAAATTTTCACAGAGGAATCCTAATGTCATAAGAGACTACCTTATATCAGTCAATTCTTTAAAAAGCCTTAGGTACACATTGCACCACTGAATGTTATTTGTTGCTGGGAAGACCCAGCAAATATAATGAAAGGAAAGCAAAATTCTTCCTGTAAGGAAGCAAAGGATGAACAAACATGCTAGCTCATTATCAATTCATTATCAAAGCCAGGACCATACAAAGTCATTAATAACTGAGGTTATTAACTGAGGGTTCAGAGGTTATAAAATTCAAATAAGTGTATTTATTTTTTCCAACAGTAGGAATACTGAAGGATCTTGACCTACAAGCTCCCTTTTTCTTCCATGCCAAACATCTCTACTCTGTATCACCCTCTCTAATCCAACTTCACTGTTACTGCTGAGGCTTTATACCTCAAACCATCACCCCTCAAGTTCCCCACAGATGAGCATGCACTAAATGCAAAAGATACTTCCATTTTCATTCCCTCCATTTCTCATCTTCTTCACACCAGAACATCTAGCTCTGTATGTTTCTGCAACATTAACATAGTTCTGTCTGTACAAGTCCCACTTGGAATTTTAATGCATTAGATTTCACAAGAAAAAAAATAATTAAAGTTAGACAAGATGTATGTTAAATTGCAACATATTTATGCAAGTCAGTCCTCTGTGAAGTTGTACTATACAACTTAATAAAGTTGTATACTTCATAGAGGACTGACTTGCATGAATATGTTGTAATTTAAAAACACAACCACCAAAAGTTGTGGTTTTCCTAAGTGAAACAGGATTCTTATCTCTTCAGTTTCTTGTTCAATTATCTGAAGCATCCAGACATTTCTGAATTACATAGAAACAGAGATGTACATAGAAACAGAAGAACCACTTAAAGACCATTTATGTGTGGTAAATAGAAGTCCAAGAAGACAACCATTATAGAGTATAATTTTGTAAGGTAACACAAGTGTAACTGATAGGCATTAGATACTGATAGTGCAACTGTTTGGTGTCAGAAGAATAGAGCATCATGTCTGTAAGAATAAAAAAGTTATCCTTGAAAATAACACAGTTCAAATGCTGAGAAACAAAATATCTCACAGAAAAAAATCAAACTATAATTAGAGGATAAAGAGAGATGGGAAAAAATACATATACCACTTCATTTTATATGAAAACCCTGCAAGTTTTTCTTAAGGATATACTGGAGTTAAAAAGTATATTTAAGTTAATGAATAACTACAACGTTAAATATATAATGATTAAAATCAGCAGTCCAAGTCATGACCAAATATCCTTCTACAACATCACTAATTCAATTAAGTATCTCAAACCAAATTCCTGAGTGTTTGTGATATAGTTTCTGTTTTGCAAGAAACTAGACTCCTGGCATAAATAGTCCATTCCAAGTTTTAAAAAATCTTCAGTAGTACAACAATTAAAGACCTTAAAAATATTTAATTAATTTAATTTTTTTTCAAATAATTGTCTCACAGAAAATAGAAGCTCCTATGTGATGGATTCAGGAAAGTATGCTTAAGATACACCTGGATGGCTTATATGCTAAAATTTATTCAGAAAGAGGAAATTAAAAAACAATGGATAACAAGCTAATAAATAAGGATCTGATATAAATATCTAGAGTTTGCATTTTAACACAAGAAAATACATTAGAGATGTAGAGGAAGGCTGAATTGTAGGGAATCAGATGGTATGCATTCACTAGAGATCAATTACATGGGGCCGTTGGTCAGAGACAGGGACAACATAAAACTCTCAGAGATCCAGGCAACAACAGCAACTGTTTGTTATGGAGGCCTGATTATATAGGGGGTTTGAAACTTCCTGGTTTAAACAGCTGATTGGTTGGGATCTCTCTCTGCCCAGATCTCTGGCCAGTGGTGTGCTTGCATCTAAGCTTGAATAGGGTTGGCTGAGGGTCCCCTGTATAGATTTAAATCCAGCTTATCTATGGACTTGTTACTGTGACAGACATCCATATGAATCCCCACAAACTCAAAGCTCCTCTATCCGTTTCTTACCTGTAACACGTTACTTTCAGCTTCCTCCCCAGTAATCACTTCTACCTTCGCTAATAAACACTTCCTTGCTGTTGCTTTAGTATAGGCTGCTGCAGACTCTGCCAGCGATTCTGAAATATTATTAGCTGAACAACATTTTGAGAGTCTGAGAATTATTAGCATAAAATTTTGTAAGACATACAAAAGTCTAATAGAATTTTGAGACCTTTTGAAATGTATAGAAAACAGACTTTAATAGAACACGTAAAAAAGGATTGAAATTTAAAGCAGAAGTTAAAGATTGTCTTTTAATAGTTGTTTTACAAGCATAAGGAACAAAATACATAAATTCTCAAGAAGTTTTGTCCCTACATGCAATAATTCAAAACCTTTGCATGGACACCTGCTTATCTGTAGATGCTCCAGCAATACTGATACTCTTGCCAGCCATACAACTGTGCCTACACATGGACAGTGCATTTAATTTTCCACTTCCATTTGGGCTTGCAGGCAGTTTATTGAAGAAAACCCACGGTTCCCAGAATTTCCATAATATCGTGACAATCTGAAGTCATAGAATCCAGCAAACAGTTCTGAATTCAAGCAACATGTGGGCCACCCACTCAATGCAATAATACACATTTGACCCAGAAGTTCAGTCACTTGAAATAAAATAGAATTATTAAAAAAAAGTTTGCCACATTTCTCCTACGTTTCTTACCAAGTCCTATTACCAATTCTGTTAATTCCCTCTAATTTTATTCCATTGAAGATACACTCACAACCACAGACTGTTAATGAAAAAGAAAGGGCAGCCTGCACATGTTTATATCCAGCAACTTCCACACTCAGCCTGTATCTTTGGTTACAGGACACAGTAAAGGCAACATAAAAATCTTATGTTTTTGAAAAGTAACAGGATATTGAAAAATACAGTAATTTTAAAAGGGATTAACTACCATTATATATAATATTTTTATTTTGTTTTTCACCTTTTTCTGGCGTGGCCTCCTGAGAAGATGATTCAGACCCAGACTCTGTAGCAGCATTCTCCTTATTACTCTCTGTACTACCTTCATTTGATTTTGGTGGACTCTATCACAGAAATAAGATGAGGTAAACAGAAGAGAGAAAGCATACACTAATTCTGCTAAACAAGACTAGTGACCAAGTACTGAGGGAAGCTTCAATATTTATAAACCATATGACAAAAAAAGAATCTCAGACAACATGCTTTCACAGTTAAAACTATCCTACTGTCAGCCAAGGAACTGAATGGAGCATGACCTAAAAAACAGTTCAAAATATTTTCCCTTGAACTGATACCAAATTTCAATCCTTATTTTGAAGCTTTTTGACTTGCTTTGTTCAACACAGCAAGTCAGTTTCAGCTTCAGCTACTCATGGCATAACTGACTGAACTCCTGCTTGGTAGTTAGACAGGTCTGAACACTCAGCATTAAACATTTCCATTTTGCTCCAGCACAGGAATAAAAACAACAGCAGGAAACAGTGAGGTACTAGAAGTTATTCCTTAGGTTGGTACATCATAAACAGCATTTCCAGAATCATACCTCAGTCCTGAGGCAGCTGCTTTACTGCTGGGCTTGAAATCCCATCCTGGGGGGAGTCACATTACTGAACTGCTCTCAATTTTGAGGACAAACATAAAATACTGTTTAATACTTATACTCCAATAGCCATTTAAAGCAACAAGCTGTGCCACAAAATGCTTGGGTACAAGAACCACATGCACTACAGAGAGAGCACTGAATCTCCTTACATTGAGTGCTTGAAAGGGAAATCCTGGAAAGTATTGCTGGGCAGACAATAGCTCATAATGAACTTCCTGTGCTGCACTCAAAATAAGTTATCTTCAAGGGAAACCACTCAAAAAAAACCCATACTCAAGTGAGAAGTATAATTAAAGGCTCTCAAAATTCCTGAGTGAGAATCTGTAACAAACTGCTGGCAAAATTACAACATATACATAGTGGATACTCACTAGGACTCGCTCACTCATGTTCTGTCCAAAAACAAACTTGTTGCTAGACGCATCTGCACTGTTTGTAGAGTTCTCTACACTGAAAAAAAAAACAATAAATAAGCCAGGTTTTACAAGGCAGAAAATAATACCTCTTTTATTTTCTACTAATAAAATTTCTCAGAAAGTGAGTGATTGTCACTGGCTTTAATAAAGTAAGCTGGTTGACACAAACCTACATAAAAATTAATCCAACTTAACACAAAAGCACATTCTAGTTTTACAGAACAAGAATTCTCTCAGAATGACAACAAATGATTTTGTCTCTGTAAAAATCTTCCTCTTCAGATAGCTATTAACATACAAAACTATGCTGAATGCTAAGTGAGGGCTTATTGTCTAATCATATAACATACTTTTTTTTAAACAGTAGTCTGCAAGCACAGACTTAAGCTACTATACATTTTTAGGTCAATTTTCTCAGAAACGGAAAGAGAGAAACAAAAACACTTGCAAGATTGTAACTGAAGCAAAGGTAGCAGTAAAGCCTTTTATCAGACTAGCTGCAATACAGACTCTCCAAGAAGTTTCACAATCAAATCTCAGCCTTTACTTCTTCCCTATAGAATAAACATCTTCCTCCCATTAGTATTTTTATTAACAGATTTTTAATTCTATTTAGGAAGGACAAGTTTTATTCTCTTACAGACTCAAAAGACTTAATAAGTCATTGTTCCTGTCCCTTGCCATCAGGCATACCTTTCTAAGACACCAGCTTACTCACAAAATGAACATACAGACTATTCTGAATCAAGCCTACATGCATTTCACCAAGTTTGGAAAACAGGGACTCACATCTACATGATTCAAGTGTAACCAAACAAATCTTTAACTTGTACATGTAGAGTTGCTACTTCTGATTAAGGAGATTCCTAGAACAAAGGAGATCCTCAGTGGAAGATACCTTTACCTCCTAAGGGTATTAAATACCACAGTTCTGAGCTCCAAATGCTGACAGGGACCTACCAATATCTGAGGGCCTACCAATATCAATGTGGCCTACCAATATCTGCCATGCTACCTAACACATTACAGTGTCTAAAGAACTGACAGTGTTACACAAAGGAAGGAGTTTCCTTTTACAAGCTGATTACCATAATAATTTGCCAACTCAGCTGAAAACTAGAGCCAGCTCCCTTTAGAAACACTATTGTTTTTAGGACAGGTCCAAACCTAGGTTTCTTGCAATTGACTCACCATGAATAAATCTTTCCAAAGTAAAGACTCAAATGAAATGACAGTAGATGTGATATGAGTTGAAAAATATGAAAAAATATTCCAGTATTTAAAGGTCACATACTAGCAGTTATTGTCTGCCAAATATGATTGAACAAGTCTGACTGTGTCTATTGGAAAGCCACTGATCTGGCATCAAGAGGGCAAAGGTGTTCTCTACCTCTCCAGCGTAACATCTGAAAAGTTCAGCATCAAAAGTTCATTGACTGCAAAACTGCCTACTGCCTCCTTCATGGTGAACAACAGTATCTTAAAAATGCTGAATATAAGGACAAATAAAGCATGTATTGGTGCTTTTCCTACAATTATTTTATTGCCTCAATCTGAATTTCATCTTATGCCAGGAGCAGAGATGTTGCTCTGCTTCATCACTCTTTGTGGAATTTCCTCTCACATTTTTCCATAAATTCCCAGCTCTGTATCTTCTGTTTCCTTATTCTTTACACTACTTCATTTTTTTGACCACTACTAAGCTAGCATCTTCACAGAGATACAGATTTCATGTATCACTACCTTAGCCTCAAATGAAAGCTGTCAGCTCAGAGCTCATCACTAGATAAAACAGGATTAGCAGTTTCCTCCTGGCTGCTTCACTTTACCTATACATCACATTTCATCTGATATTATTGATGTTATTGCTATTCATCAGAAGTAACCTCCCACAGTTAGGCTCCTACTTATTCATACAGGCCATTCTGAAAAGCTTACTATCACGAAAAAATTTCAACTGTTCTTCCTTTTATCTGTATCATATATGAAACATACTGAATAACACAAATACAGTGCAGATCTCCACAAGATTCTACTGGCAGCTCAAATTTAGTCCATCACTGTTTCTGATCATTCATGAGAAGACTTCTCATGTCATGCTTTTTGGTTTTCTGAAGAGGCTTTGGTAAGGATGTGGTCAAATAAATAGTATTAAATGCATCTCTGTTGATGAGATGACTGAGGATTCCCCCACATCTGAAGAGTGTCGTCTCACTCTTCAGAAGTCTGGGTCCCCACTAACCTAGTCTAAGCCCTGCATCTAATAAATAGAGCTGAATCATAAAGAATTTTCAATAAAGAAAATAAAGAGTAAGGAGAACTGGTCTATTGGTTTCCCTGTAGTCTCACCTGGAACTGATGTACTGTAGAAAATAATTTGTCGCAGAGGGTATATCTGATGTCAGAAGGCCAGCATTCTGCACATCAGCAGTTTCATTGCTTTCATCTCCTAGCTAGAAAAAGAACAAGTATATATCAATAATTTTAATTACAAAATTTTCAACTCGTTCTTCCTAAAGACAAAGTTTCATCCACAAATGCTTTCTACAATAAAACAAGATATGTCCCAATATTACACCTTCTTTTATCATACTACGAAACCTGAGCAAACCTGTCTTCAACAGGAGGTACTATAAATCCAACTCAGTTATTCTATGCACAAGTTTAAGCCCAGGCTCAGCCTATTTTTCCATCATTTCTGTGAAGTCTTGGTTGCATTGGAGCACCTAAGGACCACATTTCAACTTCATTCTAACTCAAAAAGTAAGAGAAGACACTACATTCTACTGAGCTTTAGTCGTTACTCACGATTGCAGTAGATGTATTTTTTTAAAAAAAAAAGGTTCTTACGTTACTTAACAGAATTCTTTTATTAAATGTCCAAAAGACTAGTTTTATTAAGCAAACAACTCTGCTGTGTTCACAGCTTTTACTTTTACATATATTCATAAACTCTTAGTCAAGAGAACAAATGTGTTTACCTTAACTCTATCTCGTAAATTTTGCCCAAAAACAAATGCTTGCTGTGCATTTAGATCAGCCTTCTCAGAGCTGTCATCATCTGAAGTATTGTTGGACTCCTTTTTCTGACATTCTGCTGCCTGAAGAAATGGAAAAATGTAGCCAAAGAAGCTGAGTTTCTTTAAATAAAAATACCTTATGATAAGGTGAGTCACACATTCATTTACAATGCCAAGCCAATAACACTTTCACATCTACAAGGCATGTTTTGCATTTAAATAATGTCTCTGTTGTTAAGTGTTTTTCTTAGCAAATCACAGAACAGTAAAGGTTCAAAGGAATTTCTAACAATCACTTGGTCCAAACTGTGTTCAAGGCAGCACCAACTTCAAACTTGTATTAGGCTGCCCAAGGTCTCGTATCAGGTTTCAAAAGATCCATGTGGCAGTTTTACATTTTGGTAGTCTGGTTCTGAATCATGATTTTAAAGGGTTAAGATTTTAGCTGAGGATTAGAACCAATTCATACTGAAGTTAGATACACTAATGATAGGTTAATGATGATTAGATGCTAAAGCTAATTGTTATGAGCTCATTTGTAGAAGGAAGTGGAGCAAGTGAACCATTGTAGGAACATATTGAAACCAGTAGAACAATGCCCAGCACCTGGACTCCATGTCAATCCATCATGGAGCAGGGGGCCTAGAATGGTGCCAGAAGGTCACAGAGCGTTGACAAAGACCTTCCTGACTTCATCCTGGGGACCACTGACCCAATTAGAGACCACCAACCCAATTCAAGAGAAGAACTGTGCACATGTGAAGGACTAATAACCTCATTTTAATACAGAGTGGAGATGGGAGGTGCTGGGGTTATGCATATGTATTATTTTGGGAAATAAACAGAATGCAAAAATCCTTGTGTGGTATGGTCACACATGTCAAGGACGACCCCCACCCCATGCTGTAATAAACATACTACTTTCTAAATTTAATTAGTTAAGAGTCTTTGTCTGCAATATTTGATTTTAACGATTTACTTGGCGAGCCAGGCAGGAGGAGACTCTGCTCAGATGTGAGACCAGCCCAGGTCATGGACTCCCTCGGGGCACCCCCAGGATATTCCTGGAAGAGTGGGGTCCACTGCCTGGACTGTTCATCCAGCAGCAGACAAGGACCCCTGACTACTAAAATTCCAGACAAAATTGTATGTTTATAAATTGAAACTGTTTTAAGTAGTGACCTTTAAGGTGTACGCGTGGTCAAGAAAGGCTGTTGGTAAGTCATGGGAGACATCCCATGTGCAACTTGTGCCCCTGTAATGTGTTTGCAAGCTGAAGTTGCAGTTGAAATCTGGTTGTCAGCAGAAAGAGTTGTTAAACTGCCATACGGAGCTTGGGCTTTTGCTGCTGACAGAAGGGGATTTTGCCATTTCTTTCACCATGGAGGGCTCAGTCTGGTAGCAATTTGGGCTAGCAGTCACAAGGACAAATCCTGGTCTCAATTGTAAATGAATCCTGACTGTCAGACTTTGTGAGAGTGTTTGTTGAGACGTGCTGTTAGCATGATGCAAGTGAGAGTTTGGACCCATGGTTCCGTTTTTGGGCGACTGAAACAGCTGGGGAAAAACAAAGTGAGTGGGGTGCATGATCCTTAATAAATCCCCTCCCTGTTGTGACTCTGTGTGTGTGTACATGTGTGTGTTTTGGTTACGGGGGATGGAATTTACTGTAATACCCAGTGTTTACGTTAAAAAGGTTCAGACTCTGAGAAATTATAGGGGCAGCACTTTGCTGTTCAGGTGTTTATGTTTGTGGAATTTAAAACATAGAAGTTGAGTGCTGTAGTGCAGTGTGTTTGTGTATTGTTAGACTGCACAAAGTGTTTCCCACAGGAATAATAGGATTGTCATGTTGTAATGGTGTTTGGAGTTGTGGTGTATTTTTGTGGCAATACTGTCATCTTGTGTCAAAAGTTGTAAGTGTAGCACACGTTGAGTGTGAAGTAGTAAAACTGGTTTGTTTAAAGGCTTTGGTAAGAGTTTATTTGTGGATTTAGGTATGGGGATTGTGTTTGTAATTACAATAGGGGTACTAGTTTTGGTCTGAGAATCCTATCTGGCCAGACCGATAGGAGGAACTCCTTTGATTCAGTTGTTTGGGCTCAACTCGTGAGAGTTTGTAAATTTTGTAAACTGGTGGATAGATGGGAAATGAGAGAGTGTATTTAAAAGGTTTATATCAGATGTCTGCTGGGGGACTAGTGGCTTTGGATTGGGAGCAACCAGCTGTGGAGAATTTAGAGAGTCGAGAAGGGATGAATGGAATAGCTTGCATTTGTGGGGATTTTCCTGCAGCTTTTGGTACATCTTGAGGTTGGCATTGTGCATGGGTGTTTCTGCACATGTGTAAGATTTGTGTAGGATGTTATTACTGTTCTTCTGCTAACTGGTACGGAGAGTGTGTCCATGTCAACAGCTCCCTGATCAAGCTGATCTAGAATCAAGGATTTTAAAGCTGGTGTGAAGAAAATCACATTTAGTACCTGAGTGGTGGGCTATGCGAGAAGAAGACCGGGAAAGGACTGTACAAATCTGTGGAGCCAGTTTTAGGTGGAAGTGAAACAAGAAGCAAAGGAGGAGGCAATAGGGATTGGAGTGCTGATCTTGTTAAGGAGAAGGGTGTAGCAAGATTTCTGAGAGAGAGAGGACATGATTTGTATTTAGAGTGAAGGTTGAGCTACCCCCAGCCTAGGTCTCAGATATGGGCCCCAGCAAGGCCTTTGAAGCCTTTGACACAGTAAGAGATTAGTTTGTGACGCAGTTAGAAATTCTGTTAAGGTAAACACAGTATTAATGAGCCGTCTGAATGTGAATTGGTATAGGTCTGCAGTGTGAAACTCAAGCCACCTTAAGATGAAGATGAACAATGTTTGCTGGCCCATGATAGTGTGCTCAAAATTTGTAAACTATATTTAAGTGTATATAAACTGCCATATTATAAACAATAAACGGAGAACGCAGCATTAACCATATTGGCTTGATCTACATTTGTCCTGTCCAGCATTCCCTATTTTATAAGAAGTCCCTAGCTTCTGAAGGGGATCAGTGAGAAGCAACCAGAGTAAAGAGATCCCCAAAAGTAGTTCTTTAGGGTGTATTTTGGCACACCGGAAGGCAATAGTAGGGTATGGGGGGATAGAAAATAAAAGGACCCTTGTGAAACTTTCCACACAGTGGTGGCCACTTTAGATGTTTGAAAAGGGGGTCAGGTGGCTTCCTACTGGAACTCTACATTATGAAACTTTGTTACAGCTTATGTTATTTTTGAGACAGGAACAGAAAAGGGAAGAGGTGATGTATGCCGATATGCTTTTCTCCCTCCAGAACCACCCTGAGTAGCAGAGGGATTGTGGACTCAGGGCCTCCTCTGACCTCTTTGTATTGGCCCTGGAAAAAGCTAATGAGGCTAGCAGGGGAGGCTGAAATGGTGCTGTAGTGCATGCTCCATAAACCAATGCTGCACACACCCAGACAAGGTATACCCAGCTGACTCACTGGAGCAAGAGTTGGGGGATCTGTTTGAACCACCGCTTAGAAAGCAAGGGAAGCAGAGAGGGGCAGCAAATTTGGGAACAACCTCAACTCCAGCTCCAGCTCTTATTCTACCTCCCAAGACTTCACCCTCAATTTCAACTCCAGCTCTTGCTCCACCCTCTAACACCTCTGTCCAAACTCCAGCTCATATTCCATCCCCCACTCCACTACTATTTCAACCCCAGCTCCAGCTTTGAACAAAGCTATTTCTATTTTAACTCCAGCTCCGGTTTTAAGCTCAGCTGAATCAACTCCAGCTTCTATCTCACGTTCAACTCCAGCTTTTATTCTATCTCCCACCTCGAATACTTCTAAATCTTTCAAACTACCCAGCAGTGACAGTGAACAAGAGGAGCCCCTCCAGAGGCCCCTACAGCATCCAGGACTTGGAAACAAACTAAGAAAATTATACAAGCACCTCTGAGGGAGGCAGTAAGTCCTGAAGGGAAGACAATGTTAGTTAAAATCCCTTTTTCTACAGCAGTTTTAGAGGTTTGGGAAAAGACTGTTAAACATTATCAGAGTGAACCAATAGGTGTTGCAAAGAAATTAAAGTTTATGATGAAACAGCGTCAACCTAATTAATCAGATCTCCAACTGTTGTTGGATGCCCTAATGGAAACAGAAAAACAACTGGTTTTAAAGATAGCTGGGGGTTTAGCAGAAGATGCTTGTAGAATAACACAGAGTGATACAAGAGATGTCTTTCCTCTTCAGGATCCACATGGGAATGCTAATGATGTTAGTGATATGGGAAGATTAGAGGATTATCAAGACTTCATAGTAAGGGGGTTAGAAAGGGCAATTCCTAAACCAATAAACTGGTCAGCCCTATATACAATTAAGCAAAGTCCCTCCAAACACCTTCTGAATTTCTAGAACATTTGTGGGATGCAATGTGTCGTTATACAACCTTAGATCCCGAATCTGAGGAAGGGATACAACATCTAATGGGTTTATTCTTAGGACAATCTACAGGGGACACAAATTAGACACAAATTTCAGAAGATACAGTTCCGACAGCATGGGATTTAGAGACTTTGCTAGAAGAGGCATGGACAGTATTAAGTAACTGGGAAGAAAAGTGCAAAGTAGGGATGAAAAAATTATTAGCAGTAGTAAGGGAAGAAGAAAAAGGGAAATGTGGACAAGGGCCACTGCCACTAAGGCAGGGACCACCTCAGCTAAGGAGAGATCAATGTGCATTCTGCAAGAGAGTTGGACCCTGGAAAAACCAGTGCCTGGAACAAAGAAACAGCAATGAACAAAGAAATCAAAAAGGGAGGGTGGTGGTTGCCCGTGTAAAGGAAGACTGATGTGGACTAGAAGACCTTACCCTAAGGGACCCTCTGGTTATAATGAAACTAGGGAACAAGCAAAAGGAAATGGAAATTCTGATAGACACAAGGGCAACATATTTGGTATTAAATAAAGCTTTAATACCAGTAACAGATGATTATATCATGATAAAAGGGGCAACTGGCCAACCTGAAAGAGCTTATTTTTGTAGGCCATTGAAATATAAACTTGGGAAACAATGGGGAATTCACAAGTTTTTATATATGCCCAATGCTCCATCAGAACTTTTGGGGAGAGATTTATTGGAACAATTAGAAGAAAAAATAATATTAAAAAATGGAGAGATTACTTTGGAGGTTAATGACCAACAATATGTGGAATTGTTAAGCCTCATGCTAACAGCCAATGAGGCTAAAGCTGAAAGTGAAGATGAGAGTCACAGAAAAATATTGGATCAAGTATTTCCTTTGCGTATATGTTGAACAGTCCTAAGGAATGCCTCTAGTGACTGACACTTGGCAGACTTCCAATCACTGGCTGCTACCTGCAAAGCTCACTGCTTCTGTCAATTTATCACCCACTTTAAATTCCACCCAACCAGTACACCTCTCTCCATTTTGGCTACGACAATGATACTTCAGACCATACAAAGATCTTGCCTAAAGTCAAAATCAACAAGTAGGGCTCTCTGCAAAGCAAATAACCTCAGAGGATAAAAAACCCATCGGGTCGGTCTCTGTTTTATCTATACTGGCTGTTCTCAACCCCTTTTAAGGTGCTTCATATCCTAGGACTCCTTCACCACAAAGGGAGAAGAAGGAGCTGAGCCATTTCTGTTTTCCTGGAACCTCTTTTTTGCCATTCGTAGAAACATGTGACATGCTTTCTTCTTTCCCAGTAACTGGGACCCACCACAGTACCACAATTCTCTGAGGACAGGCAGGGGTCTCACACAAGCAGCCCCCAGCTCCCTGCCCTGAGATCATTTTCTTGCCAGTACAACACCGGCACAACACTGTATTTTGGATCCAGGATGAGAATAATCTTGATCATGCACTGATATTTTGGCTGTGGCTCAGTCATGCTCACCCCAAGTCAAGGATTTTTCAGTGTCTCATGCTCTGCCAGCAAGGAGTTGCACAAGAAGCTGGGGGGGAAACACAGCTAGGACAGCTGACCTGAACTGACCAGAGGGAAATTCCACATCATAAAACATCCTGCCCGGTGTGTAAACTGGGGGAACTGCTGGTGAGGGGCTGATGGCTTCTGGGAGGTGGGCTGGGCACAGATCAGTGGGTGCTGAGCACCTATACTGGGCACCACTTCTTTTCTTTGTGTTTTATCTGTCTCTCTCCCCTTTTCACTACAATTATTATTATTATACTGTACTCTGTTTCAACACTGTTCTTATCTCAATCCACTAGCTTTACTTTTTTCCTGATTCTTCTCCCTATCCCAACTGAGTGGAGGGAGTGAACAAGTGGCTCCATGGTACTTATCTGTCAGCTGGGGTTAAACCATGACTCTCCCTCTGCACCTATGGATACATGGATACATCCTGCCTGGTCCTATGGACCTGTGTACATCAAACTGTCTAAAACAGTCCTTAAGCAAATTTATTGTAATAATTCTCTCCCTCAAACTTCCCCTACATAAAGGACTTGGTAGATCTGACAGCAGACCTCTTCAGTGGAAAACAAGACAAAGGCATTGAGTACAGATTTTTTTCTTTTTTTTCACCACTAGGTTCCCTTCAGCATTTTGCAGAAGGTCTACAATTTTCCTTCATTTTACCTGTGCTGCCAATACTACTGGAAGCTTTGCTTGCAGCTTTTCATTCCCTGTAATTTCCAACTCCAGCCAAATTTAGTCTTTCCCAGTTCGCCAACACATCCAGGCAATCCTTCTGCATACTTCTCAGGTGTCTTGACTGCTTTCACAAGATATATGCACATTCTCTTTCTGGATTTAAGGAGCTCCCAAGGCCAAACACACTGGCCTCCTGCCAAATTTGCGCAGTTTCGTGCGCTTTGGGATAAATTATTCATTCTCTGAGGTGGCTGTCCGTGAAGGTAATGAGCTCTCATGAGCTCTGCTGTCCTTCAGAATCCTACCAACCAGCTCAATGAACAACCTGAAGTCTTCTGTCCTGAAGTCTGGATCTTTATTCTGCTATTTATTAGCTCCCTGAGGATCTCAATCTCATTGATGTCTCAATGACAGCTACTCTCTTTGCATTTCTAGCCAGTTCTTTGCTGTGAATACCAGGTACAGCTAAATACCTTCCATGTCAACTTAGCCAGCATATGCAAATATGCTCAGCAACTTATTTCTAAGATCTCCAGGAGTACTCAGGAGGATTTCTACCAGGACATGTTGCCATTTTATCAGGTGTCCAAGTACTAAAGTCCTCCTTTAGAACCAAGGCCTGTAATTGTGAAGCTTTTAGTTCTTAAGGGCATTAGTTACTTTCTCTACTTCATCAGTCCAAGTCTGGTGAAGGTTCATTTTGATCTCACTCTTGTTGGCTTCCCCTCTGATCTTAATCTATAAAGCCTTGACCAATTCAGTGCCTTTCCAAAACAAAGCCTCTGCATTCAAACAGCTTCTTTTAGCATAGCAGAAGCCATCCCTGTCTGTCTTTCCAGCCTTATTTCCTAAAATATTTACATTTGTCACCTTAAGTTTCCTTCTCCAACTCACCTTGTCTTCAGAGTCTGAACTTTTCAATGTTGCATCACTTAGTGATTGTGATGTGGCTGCAGAATCTGGAGGGATATTTACACCATTGGTGCCACTGCTGAGAACTGCAACACAGAAAAAAAAAAATACATGAACCCTCTAGATATTTAGACTGTCCTAAAAGTTTTCTTATGTAAATTGCATGCAGTTTTCTTGCTTAAGTCCATTAAACATTGCAATGTAAGCTAAAAATTTCCCATAGTATTTTGCAAGAGACATGAGGACCACAATTCAGCAATTCTTAGCAGAATCAAAATTCCAAATGCAGAAAACCAAGTCAGCAAATTAATCTATACAAATGTTGTAAGGACTTCAATATGTACAACTTCAAGCAACCATCCTTCTCCAATCTAATACTGTTCACACCCAGCAGGGCTTGTCTTCAGACTGATCTACCTGCTCTCATACTGAACTCTCACTGAAAATTTTACCCCAATACTATGTCCTCTGTAGAGTCCAATCTGTGTCAGGAGGCACGTCAAGAAATCAAGCTAGAATTGTTTGGTTCTATGCCAGATTCTGCATTAACTGAAGTTACTCCTGTTTCTGTTTAACTAAACTTCCACATAACAAATAGCATCAGGCTGGGGAAACATGGGGTTTAAGAGACAGGGACTTTAAACAGACTTTGCATTAATTTCCACACTTTAATCATGTCTGTTTACATCACCTACATCAAATTCCATAATTCCATAATACAATAAGCATTATATGAATGACCAATCTTAAATATTAAAATTCTGTGTTCAGAATTAAAACTGTACTTCAAAGCCCCAACTGCAAAATGGTCCCTAAGCCCAGAGGCACCTCTCACTGATTTAGGTACTTTACTGTTGATCAATTACCAGTAATAGCTTATTACATCATGGTCAATGCTGTCATATGAGATTGACTGCTTATCCACACTCTTAGAAGTCTTTTTATTTCAAAACTCAAGTATCGACTACACCGAAGTTAGAGGCCTGGCAACATCAGACAGTCACCCTACACAAGATCTGAAGGTTCCACTATGTTATCCTTCATGTAATACAGATACACTTACTGTTTAAGATGTTGCTTTTCTGTAAGGAGAAAACTAGAAAAACCAAGGTAAGCGTTGAGTGAAAGCAAACCACCACAGTAAAAAAATTCAGTATTTTTGTTCTCTCTCCACTGTATTTAGAATGCAAAAGCATTATTTACCCATCTGTGAGAAAGCTTTTGGCTGCGGTGCCTGTAGTACTGCTGGACGGAGCACACTTCGCTGCTGTTCCTTCGGTTTCTGGCTAGGGAGACCTGCAATTGCAAAGGTTTTTCAAGAAGTATAAAGTTTTAAAGTTGGAAAATTCAGCTTCATCTAATCTTCTCTAACTGCTTCCAATAGAAGACACAATTAAAAAACAGACAAAGCTTCTATTCCTTTTCCATCCCTCCTTACTCAGCCTCAAAAGAGAATTAGTCCCAAATAGGGAAGACTATTTCCTAGCCTAAAAAGACACTTTAAAATACACTGTCTACCTTATCCAGGAAAGCATAGATGAAATTGATCTAGAAATAAAAGAAATAAAAGCCAATATGTAAGAGAAATGAACAGTACACCAGTAACCCTATTTATGCACTGACATTTCATTCAACTACACATTACAAGTCTTCTTTTCTCCTTCCAATACAGTACTTTCCAGATAGTAGTAATTTTTTTTTTTTTATTATCCATGCAATCAAACATATTGGTACGGTAATAGTTGTGTTGTGTCATTTAACAACCTTTTGGCTTTTTAAATTAACCTGGCTTGTTTGGTTATTATAGTAAGATGTACAACACTACAACTCTAATTCTGCTATGATTCGAAAAGCTAACTGACCTTAAACAACCTAATTTAAAAAAACCCAAATATTGTAACATTAACTCTAGAAGGTTATGGTAAGCCTGAAAAATTCAGTTTTCTTCACTAAAAAAGGTCAAGATGAACTCCTGATCCAATAAAATACTGCAACAGAACTCACTCATAGCAATTAGTTCCATTTCAGCTCACCCATATTAAAAGGGCATAACATCAGATTATAAACCTATTCAAAGTTCAAACACTCATAAGCTCAAAACACCTTGTTCCTTTCTTAAATTTACTACTCTTCCGTCAAGTGAAATGAAGTTTCCATATAGTTATGCAACAATAGCTTTCATTACCTATATAGTTTTGGATTGTTTTTTTTCCCCCTCAAATTCCTAAGGAGCTGTAATACTAATATCTTTCTGATAGTGGCCGCGTCTACATCAGTAAATAGGAAACTCAGTCACAGCCAACCTGTAGTGCAGAACAGGCATGATCAAGGACCTGCTACTTACATTGCTGCCAAAAGCCAGGGAGAGCAGAAGTGGGCACTTTCTTGACACTTCCTGGTCACAGACTAAATACTCAGTAATGGCCAGAACTTGCTCAAGGCACTTACTGAACATGCTTTTTCTTATTGTTTGCTACCAAAGGAATCAAATTCGCTGTCTGTAGGATAACTCCAAGCACAAACAGAAGCTTGCTAAGCAGCAACACCTGGGAGATCCACTTCAGACATGCACAGCTGATCCAATGCAAAACATGGATGCGTCCATACGCATTACACAGCAGATATGGGCACAACCACTTAGAGAAGACAAGATTTTTTTCTGCAGACACATAGGTATTGCTACTTTCTATTTACACTAGCTGATTGATGAAACTACTAACTAAGACACTTGAGCTGGTTTCTTTGTACTGTTGCAGTAAACAGTGAACTCACCTGCACTGGGTGCCTGACCATGGATAAGTATTGGTGGCTTCAGCCGGAATCCACTGCTCTTTTCCTCTGGAAGTGAAATACAAAATTACAAGGACAAAGCTGTAACACATTAGAAATATCCATTCAGTCATAAAATTGCTCAGGTTTTCCCCACTGTAACAACCCACGAGTCCTATAAATACACAAAGTTATTAGGAGCTTTCCAAAGAACGAATTATCTTCTTCTGAAAGTAACCTGAATTTCCAGCAATCATCACAGACATGGTATCACAAGTAAGAAGTTCAACATTTTTTTCTGAAGAAACAGGAAAGGTACTATATTCACCAGAGAAATGGGGCTCCTTCTGTGAAGGATTTAATACAGATAATAAAGGTTTTAAGTGAGAATCAAACTAAAGAAGGAAAATCAAAGTTATGACCGAACATGACAGCTGCTAACAACTATCTAACTGCTAATGATCATGAACTAAGTTAAACTTAATTGCTTAATGTTAGTTTCTTGTAATAATAAGCTTTTACTCATGCTTTTTTAGTAGGAAGATAAATTCCTTTGCTCACACTCACTACGATTTTTAAATTAAATACCAAAATCTCAAAAAAAAAATTATAAATCTACAGCTCTCTTAAAAATTGAGTTCCCTAGAACTTATACAGAATAATTACACTTCTTTCCTTTTAGGGGCTTAATATCTGTACTCAGAATAAGACAACTCAGCATCTTACAGTCTCACTGTGCTTGGTTATAAGCACATGTAACATGCATATGTAGTGCAAATGATGTGCACTACAGTGATACCAAGACAACCAAACCAGAACTATGGAGACTAACAAAATCAGCAGTTCTGTCAACACAGGGCTCACAGGTCATAGCTGAACACAATCATACCCTTATGGTTGCTTTGCTTTCCAATATAAAATAACATTTTTCCAAAGTAGATATATTAAACTTTCCCAAAGAGTTTATTGTGAGGCTAGCAGGTAAGGGTCATACTGCAGTATTCTACCATCACTCCCAAAGCATTTAACAACTTTGATATTATTTTAATTACCTCCAGCAATGGTGATGTTGAACAATGAAGTGAGCAAGAGAACAGCACTAAGATCAGAACTATCATCACTTCTATTTTCACAGACAGAAGTACTTTTTACTTCTGAAGTATCAGAGTACTTTAGATCATGACAAATTAACAACAGTTCAAGAAAAAAGCAGAAAAATGAAGAAGCTCACCTGGTTCTGAGTCAGAATTGCCCACAGAGGGTTCACAAAAACTTGATGGCATAAAGACATTGTTCTTTGTTACTGCAGTCAAGGAAAAAGAAAAAAAAAAGGGAAGTTGTGTATGTTGTTCTTTATTATAAACCTGTTCCCAGACTTCAAATTGAAAATTACTTTGCTAGTGTTTTATTTTGGTTTTATTTCTTCTAAATTAAAACAGCATTACAGCTGAAGTAGCAAACAAGCCATGGTCCATAAAATCCTCTCAGTGTCTCCTGAAACAGAGAAAGAACAAATTTCATTTTTTCTGAATCCTGTATAAATACAGGATTCCCAATCTGAATTGTATCTGAATTAGGAATTAGAAGTGGTGTTAGTATATATAAGAGCATTGCAAAATGTATAATATCATTTCAAAAGTCTCCTGCAGAGAGAGAGCAGAAAGGTGTGTAATGCCTGCTAGAGAGCAGAAGTGAACATCTGGGCTCTGATGGACCACACTGTTTTCACCAAGAGGCAGCTTAGGTTTGAACTACCCTGCAAAGACAAAACTCCTATAGAAACAGAGGAGAGCACATCAGAGTACTGTCAGATGTCACCTCAGCAGCATAATAGTCAACCAAAAGGAAAGCATGTTTGAAAAAACAGGCAAAGGACAGAGTTTCTTTTCCACCCTTTGCTGGGTCCTAAAGAAGCAAACAACAGGGAGTTTGGTTGACACCCTGTCCAGCAGTTCTAGTACTTTTGGTGTTATATAAAAATCACAATCCAGTTTATAAAATAGGACAATCAGAAGGAGACAGATTTCTCCAACAAATAATTTTGCATAAAGAAAAGCATAACAGTATTTACTGGCTCTTTCAGCTTTTATAAGGCTGTAGAAAAAGGTCAAGTATGTTGAAAAATGAAATGAAGGTCACCTCTAAAGACCACTTTACTAAAAAATGTGACATTTGCCTTTTATAATTAAGTCCTAAAATTTTTTCTCATTTCCGTTTTTACCTCTTACTTCCTTCTCTCTTTTTATTATTGTCTGCCTTAAGCTTAAACATGACACAGTTTTCATGTAAGTAAAACTTCCCTATTCCTGAGAGAAACATAACCCCACCAGAAAAAAAAAAAAAACAAAGGTGGGAAAGTAAAAGATTTTCTGCAAACCAAAGCCATTGACTAACATCAACAATATTCAAAGAGATCTTCATGGAACTTGCAATTCAAACCAAAGCTGTCACTGCTTGAGAACAACACACATCAGAAGAGAAGAAAGGTGTCAAGCAATAAATCACCACATCCTCTCAAAATTCATTAGCTAAGCAGAGGCTTGAGAAAGGATACTGGACTCCTGGAATATCCAATATTTAACCAAGGAAGAGATGAGTAAATTATTTTTCTCCACTTCTTAACAGACGTTAGCATAGAGATTCTAATCTAAAGACATTGCGGGATGCAAGTGTTAAGAGATGATGGGGAGCGTGGGTATACACAAACTATTATTCTAACAGAAAATCTACAAAACTCTGTATTTATTATTTTTGTGCATTCCTTTACTAAGAGTGGTTGGCAAGCAGACAGCAACAACCCTGATCACTCAATTCACAGGATGGCATATGGAGACCCACCGAGCTGCACACCAGGAAATTGGGGTCTGAAAGAGAAGAGCTTCTTCCCCTGACTATAATTGGTGCATGACTTGAAAATGCTATGCCTATAAAGCATCAGCAACTACATTTTGGATTTCACAGTCATTTTTTTTCTTTAAAATTAAAATCAAAACAACTAGGCTTTCACCTTTTTGTCAAATCTCCAAAATGTGCTGCATAAGAGAGGAACATTTTTTTTACTGTTTCCTCCTTCAAGGTTTTTCATCTCCTTTGTTTCAACTTAAGACATAGAAATAAAGTAGCAGTCTCGAAATCTGCCTCAAACACTGACATATCTTAACTAAAATAACCATTGACCAAAGCTAAAACCTTCATATGATCTGTGAAGAGAGATGGCACAAATCAAGACAGTTCCTGTGAGTGAACATCAAACATGACCATTCCATGCAAGTGAACTGCATGAATTTACCCCGGTAAATTCACTGCCCTGACCGTACACACACACAGGCTGTGGTCATTCTCTCTTGCATTTGTCAGGTGCTTAAGAAATGCACTGAATCCCCCCCATTTTAAAAGGAACGGAAGAAGAGAAAAGAAGAGGACTAAAACACAAGTTTGAGACTTGAAAAACTTCCCCAGCAGCAGAGTAACTAAGAAAAAGGTAGCCCATTTAAATTTGGAAAGAAGCAACCTGATCACAATTAATCAAGATTTCTGGTTAATTCTGCAATTTAACAGCACAAAAGTAAAAGGTGAAACTACAAATACACATAAACTTACGGATAGAAAACATTTTTTAAAACTATCAGCTCCCTTGGGCTTCACCAAATTTGCTAACATGAGTACATGGCTGCTGTGGTCTTAACTGAAAGCACAACATACAATAGTAAGACTGCTTACATGACTGGAAAAAGAATGTTTAGGTAGGAAAACCATCCCTCATATATAATACTGTAGCAACATTTACCTGACTGAGAAGGAGGGAACTGAGTCAAAGATGAAGTTCTCTCACGTTTTACAGGTGGGCAGTAGCTTCCATCCTCACGATCAGATTCTGTAGAAAAAAAAAATTATTAGAAAAAACACAGAACATCCCAGCAAGACACACACTCATGGCTTTTAATTTTACAGTAAAATCTCTTACCATCTCCATCTTCTGGACTTGATCCATCTGCAGATCTCTGAAATCAGATTACACTGATCAAACAAAGATCACATACTAAATATTTCAGTCTCTTCAGTTTGATCCAAATGTTTTAAACATCAGTTAGGAAAATTTTTCTTTAATGTCAGTGATACACACTCAATGCAATAATCATCTGTGACTTATACTATCAAATTAATTAATTCAAAATATTTCTTTACAAGTAATGAAATTCTTGAAAATTCCCAACCTCTAACATCTTTAGGAACTGTGTAACAATTACTACAGTTACCTTTTCTATATACTGAAAATTTGAAAATGACAGTTTTCAAAATTGGTTTCATTTTTAAAATATAAAGTTTCAAGCTCAACATAAATATCCTCATTATTTGGGAGTTCATTCCAAAGCACTTTACCTAATTACTCTAAGTGACATTAGTTCCTTCAACAAAATTATAGCATTAGAAGAATGTCTTTCAAAACATGCTCTATAAGCCAGTACAACAGTATTTTTATTGGAATTAGCAATGGATAGTCCCTTAACATCTTCCACAGTACCAGAACAAAAAAGGAAGCATCACAGGCTACCAACCAGCATAGATACTAAAAAAGTCTTTGAACAAAGGTTTTATGTATTTTCTGAGGATTTCTATGGCCCCTTCCTCTTACCTCTCTACCTGTTCCTCAACTAATATAATCTCCTTTCCACCTCCAAAAAATAACCCCATGACAGATTCCTTTCACTATGGAAGGTGATCACAGCTGCACCAGCATCTTCATCTCACTACAAAACATCTCGGAATAATCGAATTGCTTAGGTAAGCAAGAACCTTTAAGATCATCAAGTCTAAGTGATCCCTCAGAACTGCCATATCCAATGCTAAAACATGCCACATCCACACATCTTACAAATTCCTGCAGGGAAGATGGCTCCACCCCTGCCATGGGCAGCCTGTTCCATGGCTGCACAAACCTTTTGTGGAACATGCTTTTCCTAATATCCAATCTAAATGTTCAACTTGAAGCCATATCCTCTTGTCCTTGTAACTTGTTACCTGGAGGAACAGACCATCCCTCACCTTAGCTACACCATCCTTTCAGACAGCTCTGACATACTGGACCATCTACCTAGTCCAACACTAGCCTTTCATCCCACTCCTACCCCAGGACATGCAGATGGACACCTCCCCTTCACTCAGTCTTACTTCAGAGATTGGCTGATAAATGGAAGAATGGCAGCTTATAGGTAGATGCCCCAAAACTCCTTCTCCACCACGATTCCGCCCACCTGGGCACTGAGAGCAGGCAGACACACAGAAGAACTGCACAAGTCTGCACAGGACTGACATCTGAAGCATACCTTGGATGTAAGAGTACCAGAAAGTACAAAACTTTCTATTTACCACTGCATACATTTAGAACCCAGTACTATCAGTACTCCGCTAAATGCTAATTAAAACCACTTACACTGCACTTAGCCTATTTAATTACCTTCAAGGGCTTTTCTGTTTTGCTTTACATTCATAAAAAAATATAGCTACCTCACTAGCACCCTAGTTGAGTACTTTTGAAACCTTTAGCATTGGGAATAAGAAGCTACTGACATTTCTAGAATGCAACTCCCTGCATTCATACACACCTATCAGCCCAGCCATGTTAATACTGCACTTGATGATCCATGGCTCTTTCCACATAATTAGTCAAGTAGTCCATGGTACTACCAGAAGGTGGTCTTATTAGTCACTGACCTTGCCAACACATAATACTTTCTCAAAACATGAGGCTAAAATGGAAAACCATGATATCACGTATTTCAGAAATCAGCATCTGAACTCAAAATAATACCATTTTGCATGTAAAGTGTTTTCACATATAAAAGCAATTTCCACTTTTATCAAAAATCCTGAAAGTGAAAAGAAAACACTTGGTAAAAAATTTGCATGAGTGGAACTGCAGATCTCTATATGCAAAAATCCTTAAAAATACACAAATTATTTCCACCTGAATGTCAAAACCTTAACATCTGCTTCATCCTCAACGCTCAAGTAACACATCCAAAAGTAAAACCTATATGATTTGAGGCACAAGCCTCAAATCATCTTATTACTGTAATTTTGTAACTGACAAGCACAACTAATGTACCATCACTGTGTTTAGTGGGTAACAGGCATCAATATCCAAAACCAACTCATATTCTACTGAAGGCAAAGCAGAACAGAAAATCTGCTCTGAGTTATTTCCATGCTTCCTAGCCCAAGAGTTTTGGGAGATAAAGCTATGTACCTTTGGACAAATAGATGCCAGGTAGATTCCGTGAGGGTACATAGATCTACTGTATTAGCATAAGCTTCACTTTTCTATGATGCCACAAATAAAGTAAGTCACCACTGCAGCCAGAATTGCATACCAGTGCTGCTTCAGAGGAAGCTGGATACACTAGACAAAAAGCAGGGGTATATACATATGACAAACCTGACAGACTAGAAAAGCAGCAAATTACATTTAGTGACAATGAAAAGCAGTCCAGCCTATCCATTTTACACGTCTCTTCTCAACCTACTCAGTCTGTACTTTACAGCAACATATGCTTTACACAAGCACCCCACAAAATGGAAACAAAAGGCAGGACCATCTCATCCTGTAAGAATCCACCAAGGTAATTAAATTTATCTCCACTCAGTTGTTTGGACTTAGATGTAGATGAAACACAAACTGGTAACAGCAAAATCCAACCTAGAATTTTCTCATTTAAGAGCAGAACACACTTTTCACTTATTCCCTCTGTCCCTGGCTTTCAGAAATCCAGCTAGAGAAAAGTTACATATTTGTCTCTATTTATAGAGGCTCCTACAATTAAGACACATTTCCAGTTAAGGAAATTAGTTTCATAAAGCTACCAACTGCTTCTTAAAAGCCTAAGTCACAGTAGTTAACTAAATACAAACATTAATACCTCACACAATTGTTACATCAAGCTAAGAGAAGAACTTCAAAAGTTAAACTAGTCAGTTTTTGCTTATTTACACTAGTAAGCAGAAAGAGGGAGAGGAAGGGAGAATTTGGGTAAAGCAGAAAAGGTCAATGCAATTTAGGGAAAGCTCTAAGAGTACACTTCTAGTGTTTATCTTTGGAAATGCATTTTAAGATGCAAAAAATCTATATATAAAGGACTTCAGAGCAAAGTAATGCAAGTCTTCAGTCCGGACACTCTGCACATACAGAGGCCTTCTTGAACTGCTATGATTTGCTTAAAAGCTGCTCCAGAACCTCTTAATCAGCTTGGTCTTGCTGTGATGGCCACGTGCTGTGGGAGGCTGGTGTGGGTTAGCAGAGTTAGGATATAACTATCAGTTCTGCAAGGGGCTGTACCTATGGCCACACTGAATTCATGCCATATAAGAAATATCTGTGAGTGTGTGTACAAACAAGTAAACAAGAAATATGCAGTGTCTCTTCTTCTGTCTTAACTCATTCATCTTCCCAGGCCCTGGGAAGACTGCATGAAAATTAATGCTCCTATGAGCCAGTACAAGCACTCTTAAGATGCATCAACCTTCTCTAGATTTCAAGGTAAGGGATGGTTTTACTGTAAGACACTGGGATAATTTGAAGAGTATTTGCTAGTGTGTGCCAGTTACATACCCATATTGAGCACCATACAATTTGGTACATTTACCTGACTGGAATCAAAAAGAATGATGAATGAATCAGTTGTTCTGTACAGCCACTACTTTATGCATATGATCCCCAACAGCATTTGTGGGTTTTAAATTTCTTTCAGAACACAGTTAACTGGGATAAGATTTTCTGCTCTCAAAGAACAAGACAAAGATAACCACTTCCTGGTTAATACCATTGTCTTGGTCAGTTCTAGTAACACTGCAATTTCAAATGACAGAGAACCGAGATAAAAGTCTGTGACTATGTTTTATAGGAAAGATGTGTGATAACGTCTTTACGAACAATTCTATGGGTAAGGGTATTATGGGTATTAATGTATTTGAAATTGGTCTTAATGTCTCCCCTAACTTCAAGCAGCAGGTTTGCTACTAAAGCCCAGACAGCCCAACTCCTGAAACAGACAAGTTGGGGACTCTGCACAAGCCTGAACTTCTCAACTTTGGGGTAAAATGATGCTTTGAAGGGGGAATATGCAATAGGCAGTTCGGGAAGGCTGTACCTTCCTAGTACTTCAGAAAATGGGGAAAGGAAGAGGGCAACGTGCAGCTGAGAGCTTGGGATAAAAAGAGAAGGCTGCACTCTCCAGAACCTCAAGAAAGAAAAGCCGTTGGGGACATATGGCCCAGTGGACATTCTCCTTTTTTATTCAAATGAAGTTGCAGGACTCCTCTGTCTCCTTTATGGACATTGGCTTTTCAGAGCGTGATTTTCTGTACATGTTTACCAGCTATATTTTAAAATATCAACCCTTAAAAAATTTAACCTTCAGAAAAAAGACTGAAAGAGTTTTGCAGATAATCAAGCAAGTCTGAACACTAAGAGGTGCTTAATCTACAGCTATTATTAGCACCTTATCATGATAATCCATTCAGTACTGGGTTTATTTGAAATGGCCAATTCTTGGACAAAAAGCCGCAAACCAACCAGTGCAAGAAAAGGGTCCAGGTATTGGGTAGAGCAGCCTTAACAAAGCTTGAGCAAAGAGCACATGCCTAGGGTGTGATGCCAGAATGAACAGTGACACTCATCTGCACCAAGAAAACATGGTCCACCAACCAGAAAGATTAGGAACACTTAAAGTTGCTCTGAAAGACTGTATGGTAGGAGTCATTTAGTCATCCAATCTTTCAGAAAAGATTTTGCCACACCACCAGAAGAAAAATCAAATTACGAGCACTGACAGCTTTTCCACAGGATACTGATTTCCTCCCCACTCACTCCAAACACCCAAATCCAAAACTCTGCTATGATGCTTGGTGCTTTTAATCTGTTAAATACATTACAGGTTGCCATGACATATCCAGTGGAAGCAGTATTAGCTGCTCACTTCGTCAAGCTGCAGCATTATGGCCCATAGAGGGAACAAAGAGTCCTCCTCTAACTGCTTGAAGCAAATCCCTCAAAAATAGACCCACCTTCTCATTTATTTAGACATGCTCTTGCCCTTAGCAAACACAGTTGACACTTCAAATTTTAAAATACTTGAGGAGTCTTCTACAGTTACACTAATAGGGAGACTCACAAATTTCATTTCTTCTAATTGGAACGAGGGTTTAGAGACGACTAACACTTGAGATCAAAGAACCAGACGGACTGTGATTTGCACTACCTACAGTGAACAGTAACAGATTCCACCTAATGGAAGGGACTTTTTCCTCTAATCCCCTCAGCAGCAGAAGTACTTGGTAGATTGACACTTACCCCTGCCAGTTCTTGTTGAATAGGAGCAAGCTGCGCTTCAGAAGCAGGACTCAGGGTAGCACTGACTGAGACCACAGCAGGAGCAGGGTGCTCAGAGTCGCACTCACCAGCTGGTTCTGTGTGACCCAGACCATGGTAGGGGGGCTCAACCTCTCCCTGGGGGTCCTCGCCTGAATCCGACAAAGCTTTTTGCTCTGCAGGGGACTGTGAGCAGAAAAGACAACGTCCCTTCAATGCAAGGCTGCAACATGAGATTGGTCGTCCTAGTGAGAGGATCCGTTTTTTTAAATTTCACTGTTTTCACAGTATGGCAGAAGGAGCTGCTTGTTGCTGAGACACCACTTAAAATACATAGAAACTCTGTAACAGGACCTGCTGACAGAATTAGCTCTCAAGCTTGCGAAAAGCCTTAGTTGGACCAAATGCACTCTTTTGAAAGTTACCAAAACCATCTGTGCCCCCAGCAAAGACGATTTTTCCAGCTACAGGCTTGTTGGGGTTTAACTCCTCCCCTCTCTCAAGGACTAAAGGACAGTTGATAGCTTTTACCTTCAGATTCAGATATAAAAATTAGACAATTACTCTAAATAAGTGTTCTTCACTGCCTCTTCAGCCCACTTTTGAAGGAGGTGAGGTTGGTTATAAAATTCTCACAGAAATTAATTATTTTAACATTCACACAAGACACAGGATCCTTTCATATTTACATTACATGAATTATCTGAAAAGCAGCACCAATGCTTTTTTTCATAAATTAGCAGTTTCAATCTATTTCAAAGAGGGAGGTGACTGGATAACTAGTGCACCCTAATGGGATTTGGTATTTGCTTAACTTCTGCCACAGACTTTTCATTCCTTCACATTATTTAAAGCTGCACATCCTTGCCTGTACAACAAAAGTTTGCATTATCATATTCTGTACACATTTGAAGAGCAAAAAAGTTATAAAAAGACTTTGAGCACAAACAACTGTATTGTGATTAAGGACTGAATTATAGTCCATGGATAACATGCAGGCCAAGGAAGTGCACTCTCAATCTTCGGGCTGAGCTTCCCTGCATCTTATGGTGAAGTATCTGAAGAATTAGCAGCAAGGAAAAGATGGCACTCAAAAGGACACAACTCAGCTTGCTCCCAGAAAACACTTGGTAGAACAAAGAGACTAAAAATGCTCATCATTGCCCAGGTCTGTGCAAGAAAGTAAAAGCCTGAAAAATAAACAGCAGCACTTAAGAGCCAAGTTCTTCGAGTAACACTTGTCCTGTCATGGTAACAAAAGCCAGCGATACATGAAATTTTATTATGCAAGAAATTACTATAATTAAGGCTCAAAATAGTCGAAATATATTTATGGGGCTATTACTATGAATAACAGGTAAAAGTTCAAGGTGCTGGGTTTTTGTACTGTCAAAGTTATCTAACATTTTAATATTTAGTTGTTAATAACAGACCCAAACACTAACTTAAAACCCCACAGAATGAGAAGAGTTAAAGAAACATTTTTTTCACCAAACATTTAATAAAATCTTGCAGTCTAGCCACCTATCCTTACCTTTTTGTCTGGGGAGAACAGCAGGAAAAGGCTACCTGGAACTGGCCATAGCACTCACAATATATGTAAAAAAAAAAAAAAAAAAAAAAAAAAAGAGCCTTACCAGAAACATACACTGACTTCTAGGTACAGTTTAGAAAATTGCTCGTAATGAAGAAGTGGCAAGAACATGCAATGCCAAGCACTTAAAATTGGAAATGATAAAATATTTTGCAAGTAATTCATATTGACATGGTTTAGAATATCCTAACCCTAAAGTAAGCCAAGTGAACAGATTTTAATAACTCCTGTAATACTTGAAATACTTGCTGTCAAGCATTTTAAAAAGTGGAAATAAGTACAAATCTGATTTCTATCCTAAGCAAGACTGGAATAGCCACTTCAAGACCCACAAAAGAAACAAACAAAAGTAACTATTGCAAATCACCACTTCTATGAAGAAAAATCTGAATCCAAAATAAGAATTTCATGGCAAATATATAAATACATAAAAATATAAAATTATATTAGAAAAAGTATATTAATCAAAATTTACTGTAAGTTTCAGAATTTTGTGAATAGTATATAGTTTACGTCATGGAAGACAAGACTAAAGGACTCAAGGATTTATTTATCAAACCAGAACTGCTCCAGGCAGATGTTTGTACAGCTGCTTTTTTGTTCTCAAAAAAGCATATCCAAAGGAAACCGTGAACTCTTAAAATTAATTTTAATCCTTAGTGATGCATACTATTGAAAGTGTTTCCTAGTCTCTTAGCTTCATGAATTCTGATCTAAGCTCTTTCTGGAAGTTCTTTGAAGCTGATGAACAGTTCACTCTCTTCCTTTTTGCTGGAATATTTTGACGGAGAAATGTGTCCCTCCTTGAGCCTCCTCTCTCTAGAGAAAACATTCCTTATAAAAGGCAATTCTAGGAAGAACTTGACAGAAACCTGTTCCTGTCTCTTAAACACTATGGCAAAGATCAAGGGAGAGCTGAGTAACGTTAGGAAGCCACCTACACAAATTCACCTTTCTCAGCCAGATCAAACAACTTCTATTTTTTTAAAACTAAAAATAACGCACCAAGAGTAAATACATCTATTTGGAGATTTTGCTTCCTCTGTATTGCAGAAAATAAGGAGAGATATGAAGGAATAATTAAAAGCTAAGACTTGCATGATACTACTACAGTCATCAAATATAGGCAAGGAAATAATATTCTTTTTACATAATGACTGGAACAAGCACTCTTGGAGCAGCTTTTCCTACCAATTCTAATTTGAGTTATTTGCAATCCCTTTCCTCATTTTCCTCACTCTAGCACCTCTATCCAATGGCCTAAAAAGATTACTCTCAGTATATCTTTTCACATTTTTTACCTGCTTAGAGCCAAGGACAACACTTGTCTATATGCCTAACAACCTTTATCAGCCTCTCTATATTCCTCCAAGCTTTTTCTGCACAACTGTCTCTCCAAATACCTTCATGACTGTTCTTTTATGTACAGTAAAATATTCACAATTATGAGCTCTTAAGCACAACTTTCAACTCTATAAGTATACTATGGACTTACAATACAGTTCCACTGGGTATCCATGCTAACAATGCTGAGGCAGACTGGGAAAGGGAATGCTCTGCTTCTTCTTACACAAATTTCTTCATTCACAGCTTTCTCACTGCCACTATCCTAAACCTGTAAGTCATGGCCACAGCATGAAAAACCTTTTCTAGTCATTTGCCTCCCCAAACCACCAAAACTGAAGCATTTCCAAATAACACTGCATCAAAGCAGGACTGCAATTAACCCCTACTTTAAGTATCTTAAAAAAAAAATAAAAACCTCACAATTTTGCTCTCCAGGCTATTGGGAATGCCATCTTCCAATCACCTACATCACTTTTACAACTCTACACCTAGTTTTAAACTGTATAGTTAAGACCATGATGACAGCTAGAACAACTTAACAACATAGCCCCTTATTCACTCCAGATACTCAAGTATCACATAGCTTACCTTCTTTCAGAGTCAATCTTAAAATGTCGCCATTATCAATTCACGTATGGAAAGAAGGACACTGATCAAAACTAGTTATACAACAAACTAGAAATAAAGTACTCTTTTCTATATTATACCAATACCCCAACACAGGCTGGTGGAGGGAAGCTACACCATAAACAATGGTGTCTTCAAGTGCAAATTTTTTTTAAATCCGAGTGGAGAATTTACCTTTTCCTATACTTGTGATTAGGGAGGTCATAATGATCCTATGTAATGACAATCAATAACGACCAGTGAACCAACAGTTCATACTAGCAGAACAAATTATTTAAAAACATTTTTGGACAAAGTGTTTCTTTACACTACTGATTAAATTTGTTTGAGCTAATATACTTGCTTAAAATGTGTCAATCAAAAAACAACAGAATACTTTCACCTCAGAAATGCATGTTAAAAGCTAACTTCTGAAAATTACTTAAAAGTAAACTGTGGCCAGAAACTTGTCATGAAATGGTTTTATGGCAGAAGGTAAAATCAGCTTCAGAGCAGAAACACCGAAGTGTTTACTATTAAACACAGATATAAGGTGTACCCATCAATTTAAATATTTAATTCAGAAAGTGCTATGAAAAGCACAGCTTAGCTCATAAAGAAGTTATTTGGAGTAACAGAAATACTCTATACGTAACACAGTGAGGTTCAGACTTCATATCGCTTTCAGATCTCAACAGTTTGAGCCTTAAGCTGATGCAATTTTCCAACGGGTGTCAGCCCTAGGAATTCTGCTTGTCAGAAATACAAATAACAGTGCTACTATTCAGATATTTGCAAAATTGTATTTCACATATTGTAAAAACAGTTCTCAAATAGTTAAGGAGACAAGAAAACAATGAAAATACAGACTCACTCATATTTAGTAACTACAAACTTGATATCCACCATTAATTGACATCTAAACTGAAAACAAGGACAGACTAATCCTGTCTTTTCACAGAATTACTAGGTTGGAAGAGACCTTCAAGATCATGGAGTCCAACCCATGCCCTAACATTGCAATTAAATCAAACATCGAGTGCCGTATCCAGTCTTTTTCTAAACGCATCCAGGGATGGCAACTCCACCACCTCCCCAGGCAGACCATTCCACACCTTTATCACCCTTTCAGTAAAAAAAACATTTTCCTAATATCCAACCTTAATTTCCCTTGGTGCAGCTTCAGACTGTGTCCTCTGGTTCAGGTCAGTTGCTGCCTGGAGAAAGAGACAACCCCCACCTGATTTACAACCACCCTTTCAGGTAGCTGTAGAGAGTGATAAGGTCACCTCTGAGTCTCCTTTTCTCCAGGCTAAACAACCCCAGCTCCCTTCAGTCATTCCTCATAGGGCTTGTGTTCCAAGCCCCTCACCAGCCTCGTTGCCCTTCTCTGGACATGCTCAAGCATCTTTAACTGCAAAAGAAAATTCAAACTTCCTTATGTAAAGTAACATTAAGGGGCAACATTATGAACACTATGCATTTTTCGTCCTCTCTAAATAAACATGTCAAATTGCAAGGCCTGATATTTTATTCAAGTATATACAACTGAGCTGGAAGATGTAGTCAAAAAATTAGTTTCCAGACTAGTATGAATTTTGTCCTAGAACATGCTGAATATTTTCCAATTTCTAGTGGAGAAAAGGATCATAAAACCATAGAATTGTTAGGTTTGAAACCTTCTCCAAGATCAGAATCAAAACATTCCCTCAGCACTACCAAGTCTACCACTAGCGCACATCCCCACATGCCACATCCACACAGCTTTTAAATCCCAGTAGGGATGGGGACTCCACCACTGTCCTGGGCAGCTGTGACAGGGCTGAACAGCCCTTTCAGTGAAGAAATTCCCAATATCCAACCTTAAATACCCCAGCACAAGTCAAGGTCATTTCCTCTCATCCTATCGCTTGTTCCCTGCTAGAGCCCGACCTCCACCGGGCTCCACCCTCCTGTCAGGGAGTTGTAGAGAGTGAGACAATCTCCTGTGAGCCTCCTTTTCTCCAGGCTGAGCCCCTGCCCGCTCCCTCAGCTGCTCCTTATCAGCTCCAGACCCTTCCCCAGCTCTGTTCCCTTCTCTGGACATGCTCTAGCCCTTCAGTGACTTTCTTGTCATGAAGGGCCTAAAACTGAACCCAGGATTTTAAATGCCTCAGCAGTGCCCAGCACAGGGGACAGTCACTGACCTGGTCCTGCTGGCCACATTGTAGCTGGTACAGGCCAGGTGCCATTGGCCTTCTTGGCCACCTGGGCACACCTGGGCTCATGTTCAGCTGTTGTTGACCAGGACCACCAGGTCCTACTCCACCAGGCAGCTTTCCAGCCACGCTGCTCCAAGTCTCAAATGTTCCATGGTGTTGGTATGACTCAAATGTCAGACACCTTCCAAGCACAAACTTAAGTCAGGATATCCAGAAAAAGAACATTGTTTAACTTAATAGTAGACACTACTGTTAGTTACAGAAAAATCAGTAAGACCACCAAATTATATCAACCCAGCTGTAATACTGAGAGGATCTGCAGACACTGAAATGAAGTAATTCTGCTCAGGAAGTCCAGGTTCATGTGGAAAAATACTAGACAAACATATAAACAACCATCACAGACAGTTACCTGAATACACAATGCAGTGCTTTTTCTTCCCCTCAGCTTATCGTCAGACTGCTATGTCAGCACTAAAAAGCCTCCACTAACACTTTTGCTTACAGAAAAAAGTGACTTGACTAGACAGACATTTTGCTAAATTAAAATTGTAATTTACATTGCAAAATTACATATTCAAGTAGTGTGTTCTTTAACAACTATTTTGAAGTTACTTTTGCATTTTCTTCAAAACACTGCTCAAGGAAAAACTCCTCTCTTTATAGGATTTCCCTGTTAACTTTAGGAGGATAGTCTTTTGTGGTAGGCAATGCACTTAACCAAGCACCTTTTAGAGAAACAGTAACAGTTACCCTTCTTGGGAAATCTTAGCTATTAAGCCATTCTGAAAATACAGTGAAAGATCTCAACCAGTATATAACATGATGCTCATTTCCTTAATTAAGTTGATTAAAGCTGGCCTGAATGCCAGGTTCTGATATATACAGCATAGGACATCAGCTGTTACTTTGAGCTCACAGCATCATATTCTGACTATACTACTACTGTATCTATACTACAAAAAACAACTACTGGCACAAGCAACAAGCTCTTAATTCAATCAATCTGCAAGAAGCACAGCATAGATGCTTCTACAAGTCCTTCTCTGCAGTGTCAAATACACCACAATAAAAGCTACTAAAATTATTAACCACTCCCCCTTCCCCTTTAAAAATCCTCTATCTCCAAACAACACAGTTTAGCATAAGCATTTATGTCTGTCACTACTTTGAAAATTGGCAACTGACTGACAGATGCTACCACTAGTGATCTGTTTCAAGGAACAGGCCCTATTCACCACCCAAGCCAGACTTATTCCATGCACAAAGCAACAGTGGCCAGCACCCATGACAGCACCACCACCGCCTGGCACTTAAATAAATACATAACTTATCTCCTGTGCCTTCAAGCTGCTTAGGAACCCACAGACTCTCTACCCATCAAAGCCAGACTTTATTCCTATGCCGAGGCAGAGGCAGTCCTGAATACAGTTATCTGCTCAGCACCACCTCTGCATCCTCAGAGGCAGCTGGGCAGATTAATTCACAGATGTCCCTCCTTAGATCACCTCTGCCAGCCCCAAAATACATTATCCCTTTTATTAATATATTTTTATGAATATTTTATGGCGATCTATCAGAGTGCAACAGATCTGTCTCACAGACCAATGCAGGAGTTCGCACAGCTTAATGTTGAAGGCATGAAGTATGCAGGCTGCTAGAGGGGTGCAGAAGCAAAGGGGCATCATGAAGGAACTTGAGAGTACAAGAACTGCTATCTTGGCATGTAAGGACCAGGCCAGCCCAAAAGGACACAGGACCATGTCACTCTGCCTGGATTGCACACCGCTACGATCACCACCAGGGTAAAAGATATCTGCAGAGAACACGCACCATGACGCAACTCAGAAGGGACTTCAGAATAGTCTAAGCAACAGTGGGTGATTGGGAGCTGTTTCCTAAGAGGAAACATGATCAAAATTGGCAGTGCAAACACTACCACTCCCTTCATTCCACAGTATAATTAAACAGTTATTGTAAAAAATGTAATTAAAAGGATGTCTTGAAAGTACTTACTCTCTAGCAGACTTAATTTGATTAGCTAATATTTGGAGGACAACAGACTTATATCCTTTCCAAGCTGAAAAACTACTTCAAGCTCCTGCTGAGGAATACAAACCTGTGAGAAAGCTTGAGTCTGGTACTTGTTCTAAACTAAAGAAAAGCTATCAACTGAAAAATTACTCAGTATTTCAATTAAAACATTTCTGACTCCACAGATGACAAAATAATCCAATGATCCAACAGAAAGTGTATCATACACTTCTCTTGGTTCCCACCATCTTCAACAGAAACAAGAGTAACCTTGATTTTTTTCCCCACATAAATCTTACTAGCTTTACTATTAACCAGACAGAATTAAATCCCATATTGAGATCAGCGAACATAATTACCATTTCCCAAGATAACTAGACACTTCACAGCATACAAACCAAAGATATGAGAGACATTTAAGTACACTGAGGTGAAAAGCAATAGTCTGGACCAGTTTTCTTTGCTTTATCTTAACCCTATTATCAGAAAAACAAATTCTCTAGCTTTGTCATGCTGAGTGTGTCAGCACTCCTCTGCCACATGTTCAAGATACACCTTCACCGTACTTTTTCTTCCACATTGAGCCATATTCTGTCTGAAGAGCTACCTGTATTGTGAAACCACCATACATCTTCCCACTTTTAGCCCTTCAGTATCTGCTTGCCCTATGCCCATTGATGATGGTAATGTTCTATTAGCCACCTTCAGCCTCACAACAATACAAAGGGCTGATCACCATGGAAGGAAGGAGTCAGGGCTAAGAACAAAACAAAAAAAAAAAGTATCAGCATCTCCTTACCTTCTGTGCTTTATCCTTCTGAAATACAAAGACAGGTGGGGCAATGGCAGGTTTTTCTGTAAAAAGAGAAATCATTGGAGTTTTTTCCAACCACATTCATCTTGACTATTATGAAAATGTTCTGTTCTATGATGCTTCTAGCAACAATTAATCCCTAAGCCAGTTAAATCTCAGTTACACATATTGTTTCTACCAGTTCCTGGTAATTGATGTTTATAAGGACTTAACCTTCAAAAGTAAAAAAGAGTGTTTTAAGACAAACAACACAACTAATGTCTAAAAGCTATTTGTGTTTCTCCTCCAGATCACTTACAAGCTAGTACTTGTACCACACTTTAGTACATCAGAAGGAAAAGTCCCTTTGCTGCAGCAGTTCACTAGCTGAACAGATGCTTTTCCTTCCCCATTGACACACATTAATGAAAGGGGAGTTTGTTTTACGCCCCCACATACTCCTTTTGTAAAGGTCCCCTAACACTGACATTTGATTACACTTGTATTTCATTATCATTGAAAACTGTAGAAAGGTCCTAAATTAATATTTGCAGGTCTAAAATTCAAACCTGATATATTACACTTTACAGAGGAACCAGTCTTTTCTGCACAATTTAAGAGCACGTATGCTTTCATCTTAAAGCTCTGAATCAAATATTAGCAGAATGCTATTTTCTAAATAAGCACATCAGCATCTAGTCCACAAGAGTAGAATTAATGTATAGAATGAGTGTATATTTCCATTGTCCTTTGAGATTTCACAACTACTTCAGAATCCTGAATAATAAAAATATACATACACAGGGGGAGTGTGTGTGGTAAAGCAGAGGTGAGAATTCCTGAGACTTCAACAAACTGACAAATCTTGTCTGTGAGTTATATTTGAAGAGAAGCTGCACACACACTATGCAGTCAGCAGCCCTCCTGTATGTTTGCAGGGCTAAAGATGAGTACAATATTTCAGTCTTTCAGTCTGGAAAATGGGATTTACAGAGAGCTAGATTTACAAAGAAATTAGCAAAAAAAGTTCCACCTTTGCAATTATCCGGTCTTATAAACAAATCTAGACATCTAAGAAAATTAAAAATTTTAAAAGTTTCAGAGATTGAAAGGCTAACATGAAAGAAAAAGGAAATATAAAGCTATCAAGAACTACCTTGCATCAAAAAAAAGAACAGTATCACAAAATCTTGCAGGATCAGTAAAGTACTTGGAGCACCATATAAGGAAAAAGGAATGAAACTATCCATTTGGGAACTGTTATATTAGATCAGTTTAACTGAAAAAGTGAAACTTTAGTTTCGTGCATGCAAAATTATGAAAATTATTACCAGAACTGTGCATTTAATTGTGAGGGTAGAAGAGTGTCTATTTTTCTATGGATCTAACTTAAAGGGATAACCCAGCAAAACCAAAAAACACTGCAAGAGTGATCTAACAAGACTGGAATAACGTGTTCTACAAAAGGTAAAATTAATCAAGAAATTAAGCTACTTATGACATAATTTTGCCTGCTCTTTTTTTTCCCTTTATTTTTTAAGTTCCTCTATCCATCAAATACTGCTGAATCTTAAAAATGCTTATTAATAAGAGCAATGCAGACAATCCATTTCAGAAGTGAAAACAATATGTAATATTACAATATTAAATGTAATACCTGTCCCAAAACCCAGAGTGTGGTAATAAAAGCCAAGGATCCATTTTTATTCCCTGGGCCTCAGTATAACCTACCTGTGGGAGGCTCCACTAGGCAATGACTAAGCTTTTAAACCTTGACTTCAAAGTGACAGTTATTTTTTAATACCATGTGGTATACTTAGGTTGGAAATGGGGGGGTGTATTCTATTCCTATCTGTTGGAAGTAGGGTAGTTTATCTTCTGTTAATTGGGCCATTTTCTTTATCTTTTCTACAATTAATCCTCCCTCTGGGGAGACATCTGCTGTTAATAGGCCATCAAGTGTCACTGCATGACTGATAAAAATGATAGCATCCCATTGTGAGATGCTCCGCCCAGGGGGAGGAGCCAAGCATTCCTACCTGGATATAATCTGAGACTTGGAAGACCACAATCAGCCTTTCCCACTGGATTCTGAGAGAAAGACCAGGCCCATCTACACCACCACTGTATCTTCAGAGGAAGACTACAGCCTTCTACAGGATCACCGCTTCAACAGAACCACATCTGTTACTCCAGGAGGACTGCAGCCACCATTTCAACTGAACTGCTACCAACACCCTGACCCACAAAGTGTCTGGTTGTATTTTCACTCTGTCAGTGTTGTTTTGTATAACTGCATTGTTTATTTTATTTTTATTTTCTTTCCCTAATAAAGAACTGTTACTCCTGCTCCCATATCTTTGCCTGAGAGCCCCCTTAATTTCAATATTATAACAATCTGGAGAGAAGGAGCTTACATTTTCCATTTCAGGGGAGGCTCCTGCCTTCCTTAGAAGACACCAAGACAATACTTCAGGGCTCATAGTACTACTGCTACAGCAGCATGCCCTCTGCCAAAGCAATCAGTAGGGAGATTTACCAGAATGTGGGACTTGATTATCATGCACACCTTACAAGAGATTCCTGCACCAAATTCCACAAATACCAAGGAGAACTGAACAAAATCTACTTGTCTCTCTAGTGCATAACAAAGGATTGAAGTAATGAGAGAGAAGAAAGCAAAGAAAAACAGATTCAACAGCAATGCAGAGTGCAGAGAAAAGCATGGGACAGCTGGCAAAAGGAGGAATGAGTAGCCAGAGAAATTGATGCAAAGTAACACAAAATATGAAATGGAGTGATTGAAAACTAAGCACTCAGGAAAAAAGACAGATGTCAGAAACAGCAGAAAGCTTACAGTAAAAAAGAAATAATGAAAGAACAAAGAACAAAAGAGAGTGAAAAACCTCCAACTATTTGAGGTTGTGAGCAGCTATGAAAAATGCGAATGGCAAAAGGATCTAATAAAGCAAACTATGCCCAGGGCTATCAGCCAACCTGAAAAAGGGAACACTGGTGCAACATTTGATAGTTTTTGTCCACTAAAGGAACTCAGTAATCCAGTATTCAAGGTCCAAGAATCTCACTACTGCTCTTGCTGAATGTGAGACCAACTGACAAGGTCAGGAACGATGATGAGATAAGAGGCACTCACAGCTAACAACTGTACCAGTGCTTACTCAGGAATAAACACAGGGAGCACTTGTTCATTTCTGTCCTTTCTGAAGTCTGCAACAATATCACAGTGCTGAAAACATTTTACTAATTCTAGCCCAAGGCAGGAATGGATTACTAGATTGCCTAATCTGACCACTTTCACTAAATACTGCCTTTTTTTCCTAAGCTTTATTTAAATTTTGGGTAAACATTTTCATTGAAGGCATCAAAAGCAAAGTAATACTGCCCTCAATCATCTATTTCTGCACCTGGTAAAAAATTCTAGTGTCAAATTTCCCATTCAAATGTCCAGCTCCAGATTCTGGTTCCTATTTCTAGTTACATTTTCAAATGAATTTATGCAGAGCTCTCTAGCATTTATTGTTTTTTCATACAAAAACACTTACATATACCATGTTTCCATCAACTGAAGAACCCTCATAACAGGTTTTATTTTTGCAGATCAGAAATGCAGATGTTAGGTAGTTCTTTGGTTTTTCCAGTCAAGTGCTGGCTCAAAACAAGATTTCCACTGTTATTTGTATTAGCCAACATCTGAGCCAGACGGCCAGGTTCTCAAGCTTTTGTTACACCAGGATGTCTGAAGGATGACCTATGATAAAATGGATTTAGGTCCACTAAACTCTCAGCAACATGAAAATAAAGCATGATATACAAATGAAAAACCCTCTACCGTCAAACTTCAGGTAGAATGCATGTAAGAGAACATGAGACCTCCTTCACCAAGAGATGAGCAGTCAGAGCACAGAGTCTTAAAAACTGAGGATTAGATTTGGTTTTTTCTTCAGAGAAGCAGACAGAAACATGGCAAAAAAAAGGAGAAATGTCAGTTTTTTCTAACCAAGTCAGTCTTGATAAAGGTATTCAGATGAAGTCCAAGCATGTAAGAAGGAAAGCAAAACTTCAGTAATTAGCATCAGAGATAGTACCTCTCCAATCTCAAGACCTGGCACCATACAAATCTGAATGGTTTTAGGCTGTCAAATCAAATTGAATCCACAACTGAAAAGCAACTGAATCCACAGAACTCCTTCCTGCAGTTTATTCACTTCGCAGATATTTCAACCTGCATGAATAACTACAAAAAAACCTCAAGAGTTGGATTTCACAGGCTAAATTTCTTTAACATATTTTACCATCAAGTCATTAACTATCGATAAACACCCTATGAACTGTGAGAAAAACTTGTACTATTAAACCTGCTGAGCTTCCTTCACAAGCTGTGGAAATCAAAATGCAGAAACAGAAAATACTACCTCCATAGCTCATGCAGAGATACCATCTTCAAGTCATAAATACTATTTACTATGAGATTTTTAACCTAGATGCATGGCCACTAGTAGCTATAGCAAACTCTCCCATGTCAACCATATTTTTCACAACTAGACGTAACATTCACTCACATGATGTACCTGTAGCAGCCACAAGGTTTCAGACCTTTATTGCAGCATGAAATGACTCATTGAAAAAAATCCAAGGGATCAAGGGCAACAATAAAAGCTTCTGTAGTTACATTGGTGATAAGAGAAAGGCTGGGGAAAACACTGGCCCTCTCCATCAGGCAACAGGAGATGTGGTTTCCATGGATATGGAGAGCTGAGGTACTCAATGATGTTTTTGATTCCATCTTCACCAAGAAGTGCTCCAAACCAAGTAATAAATGGGAAAAGCAGCAGGGACTGGCAGAATGAAGGCCCACCTGCTAAAGGAAAACAGGCTTGAGACTATCTAAGGAAGGTTAAGGTGCACAAGTCCATGGGAACAGATGAAATGCATGCATGAGTCCTGAGTGAACTGTCAGAGGAAGTAGCTAAGCCACTCTCCATTCATTGAGAAGTCGTGGCCCTCTGAGGAAGTTCCCAGTGACTGGAAAAGGGGAAACTAA